TTTGTCATGTGTGGGAGTATTGCAGTGGGGTCCGCCTCCATTAGGAAAGCTTCACGTCCTTGCTGTTTCCAGCCTAGTGCGAGGGGGCCACCGCACCACGACGATGACTAATCCTCCCTCCACATATAACTCGAAGAGATCCCCACCCTGTTGCATGTTCTCATTGCAAAGATCGGGGGGAAAGGGAGGGAGAGGAAAAGTCCATGAAATCCAGTGCACACCAACTTAGTCAAGCCAATTAATATCCAAGCGTTGCTTTAGTCTATTTGGTCTCATTAGCTGTCACGGGGTGGCCCCCCACCCCCCCTTCAGCCGCCCTCGTCTCCCTCCCCGCGTAGGATAAGGAATCCTCCTCTCGTGTGTACATATGCGCATACATGTCTTGACCGTCGCGGTGTACCATTTGTTTGTTATGGATCCGATAAGACCGCGTGATCCAGTAGCTCAACGGATCGGGTAATCGGGCGGTGTCTCGCGAGGGTACGTGCGGCCATTCACTCACTCTCCCACCGCGTGATCCAGTAGCTCAACGGATCGGGTAAGCGGGCGGTGTCTCGCGAGGGTGCGTGCGGCCATTCATTCACTCTCCGACGACGACGACGACGACACAGCCCCGTACAGGTCGGCGGGCCCCGCGACGCCGACGGGCGAGATGGGGGCGGGGGATAAATGCCCACGTGGGGTGCCCATCGGGAGGCCACCGGTGGTGGACCACAACTCCCATCGCGACGCGTCGCACGACCTCCGCCACAAGAGCGGCCACAGGAGACATCCTTGAACTCGAAAGCAACGGGCTTCGCTGCTCGATCTCGGGCCGCCCGATGCGCCTCGTGATTCGCACCAAAGGAGAGTGCGATTTTTAAGGAAAAGCGGTGTCCTGGCCAAATATGATCGTATCGTACTTATTGACGCGTTCTAAACTGCTTATAAATACTACAGCTGTGACGAAAACAAAACCCAATTCCGAATCAATCGCTGCTGTCGGTCCAATTAGATCGGTGGAGTGCTTAAGGTTGCGAGCGTCGTCGATGTGATGCCAAAGTTCCATTTCTGACGTCTAAAATATGCGGTCAAATGCCCCAATCATTCGAAAGAAATAATGCACTCGGTAGTGTGTGAGAGACGGCCATTAAGTTTACCACTATACCACCACCGACAGAGAACTTTTCTTTTAAGGATTTCTATCGCTGTCAAATCTATTTTTTTAAGGGAAAAATAATTACTGTCATAAGCATCAACACAGCACTTGTATTAGTTAAAGTGTCAATTCTAAAAGGCCAATGATGGGTTTTATTTCCCTGTATATTATATATACAAATACACTGTTGGCTTGTCAAGTCAGTCCTGTGGTGGCGGCGAAGGCGTGCAGGGAATCGTTCTTCGTCATCCTCCCGCATACAAACACAAGGGAGTAAAGAAAAGCTCCGGCCTGCTGTGACTCGAGACGCTATCCAATTGCAACCGTGGGCACGGACGGAGAGGAGGACGACAGCAGCAGCTCACATCCTACGAAAGAATATGCGCCGCGACAAAGTCAACTGTAGCAGAGGCAATTATCGATGTCATCTCATGCAATGACCGATCATTGGAAGCCAACTCGATGCTCTCCCGTCGATGATTAATGTTTTCTGCACATTGGTGGGTCTCCATGTCTTTTGTTTCTTCTCGTCGCGTACGACACGCTGACGTATTTTGAGTTGAATTATACTCATTACCCGAGGAGATCAATCGTATACTCATATACTATGGATGTGAAGTCATCGTGGACTTGCACAGCCGGAAGAACAGTCGCCGGGTGAGGAGCTACGTTCTGGATTTGTTGGTTCAAGACCGACCCCAATTCGATTTCATTCCGGTTCTGAAAATTCAAGAACCGGAATCATCAATTTCGGAATCAAAACAGTGGATTCAGGATGAAGGGAATCATTGCTGTCATTAAATTTACTATCGTTACATTGATAGCAATAGCACGATGATAGTCTACGTCTTCACATGCCACGCTCTGCTTAGATGTCTTGAAACATGGAACTTGGCTTTGCTCCATAGCAATTACTATAGCACGAGGACTGAAAGCTAACGATTAACGCTCGAGTGATTCCAGCAGCTCAGGGTTCATCCGCCGGTGGACTCTGTGGATGAACTCTTCGGCCTTCCTGTCGACGTCGAGCCCAGAAACCCAGCGTCCGTGGTCTTCGTCGGTGCGTCGAACCTTTCGCTGCCACGGTTCCATTTCCGCCTCGAACGAACCTGCTTTGGGTTGCCACGGCCGACGCAGATCGGGTTCATGGCCCTTCCGCCGCTGCCGTGGCTCCGCTGCCTTCTCATGCCCCCTCGTCTGCTGCCTCCTCAGCCCAAAGAAAGCAAGCAGTCCACCGCCCATCTCTCCTCACCTCTCTCGGGCTCCTTGCTTAGTGCAGCAAGGAGGAGTCTGGAATTTATAGCAGGAGAAAGCTGCTGCGACGGTGGGACGGTGGAACGACGATGCCTTACTGAATCCGGATCCATTAAAATTAATATGAACGGAGTGAGCAGAGGGCGGTGATGCTGGCTTATCATGGCAGAACCGCCTCGAGATGCCATGCCATGCCGTCTTGCTTTTAAGACCGTGGACGTCTTGGTCGGCGTCTTGCACAAGTAAATGGGAAGCTGCACACGCTGTGATCCCCCCATTGTCATTTCATCAAACACATAAGGGATAATATCAAAAAGATAATTTAACGACATGAAATATAAATAAATAATGCTTAAAATAACATCCGAAGTTATAAAAAATATATAAAATCATATATATATATATATATATATATATAATTGAGGTTGATTTTTTAAAGTCTTGATTGAGATTATTTTGGATTAATTTGAGTTGGTATTTAACTGAAAATATATCAACTTATCAAATAATTCATTGTGCTTGAATTGTGATCGAATTATGTCTATTAGAAGACTAAATGGATGGCCAATTAGAGACTGATTTTTTTTTTCTTGCTCTCTTTTACTTAATCAATTTAAAAAATAATACTTTTGATTTTTTTTAAGAATACAATTAGGACTCTATTTTTACACTCTAAAATGTTGAAAAAAAAAAATCAATATGTTTCCTTTTTCAATTGCTACTTTTTATTTAGAAAAATATAAATTAATATTAATAAATACTACATATAAAATATAATATCGATGGATTGATGGTTTGAATCATATGGTATATGTCTAAGACATCCCCTAGACACATACCAGTAATAATCTATGTTATATTAGATAGATATCGAAAATAAATTCAGAGCAAAAGAAGACGATTATCCCTTACAAGTCATATATCATATTAAGTCAACATTTTCGTGATAACTTTTTTCTATTTCATTCCATTTCAATACTCTAATATTAGTCTTAGGTAATGAGATAATCGAATCGTTAATATCATTAAATTCAAAGTACTGATTCAAAATGTTTTAACCCAATGAAATACATATCATACTCTTATAAGCTAATTTAATTTATTATTTATGACTAAATTTGGGTGTCATATATATTTTTTATTCTTTATGTTAATGTTAGTGATGACCAGTTATTATGCATGCATAACAATAGTTATCTTTCTTGGGAATACTGATTTAGGAACATTTAGGTCTTGTATTCATTTGCATATGGTTAAATTTATTTGTTTGAGATATATTGCACTTTCCAAGCAAAATGGTACAACAATAATTGACGTACCCCTCAAAATACAGAAAATTTGTTTGTTACACACCAACAAATGAGTAATTAGGTTTCTTTCTCAAACGAGTAAGGGTTTTACCTCAATCAGAACATGTAAATTAATGGTATCAAATCGTTTAGAAGTTGACTTTGACTCCGTTCGGAGAATTTTTTTACAATATTAAAATTTTTTAAATAAAAATATAAATGGTAGAAAATAGTTTCTAGTAAAAAAAATAAAAAAAAAGACATTTATGTTTATTCATAAAGGGTATTTTTTATATAATCTTAAAATATTAAAAATGAAATTATAAATGGTAAAAAAAATACTGATAAAAAAACTTAATGACTAAGTAAGTAGCTCCTATTGCAAATGCATCACATTAGCCCTTAAATGCTAGTGTAGCAAACTGTATTGGTAAGCCAAAGGTTCAAACACCCAACCGGAGTTAATGTACCGTAGTGAAAACCATGGTCGTTTGACTAGGAATTCAAAATATGAATATTACAGAAAACGACTTCTATGAGAATGTTGTCGATTGGCAGCATTACACCTCACAACCTAAATGTCCAATAAAGCTGCCACCACTGATTCGACCTCATATTAATTATTGATTTCTATTTTTATGTCTCTAGAAATTATATTTTCTGTCTTTTTTCAGCTATTATGAATTTTAATAATGACATTTAAAATTACAAAAATAAGAATAATACATCGGATCTCAACTTGGGTTGGACACGTCCACGTGTCGGACTCAGGAACAACGTAATCTCGAATTCTTCGTGAGCCCGGTTCGAATCCGATCGAATAATTGACGCCAACCGGTCTAATCGGGCCTACCATCGCGCTCCCGCTCGCCTTCACTCGCAAGGATCGAGTTCGAGTCGTCGCCTCGCCGTTGCGTGACGCTACTGAACGTTGGGTGGTCCCACTGCCGTTGTGTGTCGGGCACGGAAAAGATCAGCTGCCTCGACCCAAGCAGGCAAGCCCCCACAGAGGCCGTTCCATGGGTACGCTGAGTCCCAGATCTTCCAAGCGTCTCTCAGCTACACGATCTTTTGCCTCAACCGCTGTTTGTTATGTGTAGTTAAATCGTCCCGCTTATATTATAATCCGACCGTTTCCTTCGGTCACATGTAACCCGCACGCCCTGCCATCTCCTCGGTGCTCACGCTTTCTCATCCCCTTCCCGATCCCAAACACCAAACTCCCTCCCCTTCCACGGCTAGCCTTCACCCACACGTCTCTTCTCGGTCGCCGCACGCAAGACCGCATCGGATGAGCCCATTCGCCCCCCTGATTTGGACACCTCCGCTTTCGTGCGCGTCCTCGTCGCCTAACTCGCTGCAAGAAGCCGCTCTTCTCTGCTCTTCCCTTTTCTCCCCCAATTCGCCGCACTCGGACGACAACATCTCTCTCTCTCTCGGTCTCTCTTGTTCTTCCTTCTCTTCTCCCATGATCGCGAACCCTAATACCGAGAAGATCATTTCCCCGTCCTCGTGTTGATACACGGCAATATATGGCTTTGGTTCCTCCAAGAATCGCATCGAACCCTCGTCTTTGATGGATCCCGCCCCTGCAACCGCCTCGAAGACCCACGAGGTCCGCCTGGCCCCGCTCTTCATCGACCTCAACGAGGCCCCTCCGCCGCCCTGCGACACCCCTCCGGCCGACCCCCCTTCCCATGGCTTCTCACTCGACTCCCGCGCCCTCGCTTGCCGCTTCCACGCTTCCCTTGCCCCCGCCCCCGGACCTGCCGCCGACTTCCCTGGCGAGGCTGGCGTGGGGAAGCTTCCCCTCCCCTGCGGGGTCTGTGGCCGCCCCGAGACCCGCGGTGGGACGGTGGTCTGCGACGGCTGCGAGCGGGGGTTCCACGTTGGCTGTGTGAGGAACAGGCTGCGGTATCCGGCTGCGGCGGTTGACGACTGGCTCTGCCATGAGTGCAGTGCGAGCGGGAGGCCCACCAAGCGGTGGACACTCGGTGCCGCCAGGTTGCTTGATATCAATGCACTGCCGCCAAGCGAGGGAGATGTTGAAGAGCTACAGAGTAGCGGAAATGTTGGATGCAGGCAATTTTTCCTCCATTCTTTCTCTCCGTGGTTGAAAGATTCTTCTGTTTCATGCTTGCTCTTTCTCTTTAGCTACATAATTGCTTTTATTTTTGTCTACTTGTTTCTTAGAAAGGTCGGCGAACCATTTTTGTCATGTGAACAGAAATAATTGTTTACTTTACAGTTGCCAAATTGAAAGGTGGAGTTGACAAATTCTATGTTGCTCATAACAAATTACATAGTAATTTGATCAACGCAAGTAACAAGGTGACTACAACTCTATTCGTTGATCTGATGGTTTACGGTCAAAGTTTGTAGAAATTTATCAAGTGATTCTTATGTTTAAAGAGAGCTCTGGTAGCTAAAGTGAGAATCACTTGGAGGATCACGGTCTTGTTACTTCATGGTTGAGTGTGTTATGTTAGCAGAGAAGAGGAAAGGGTGCTAGATGGGTTTCACAATTTTTGATAAACAGAGTGGCATTGATTGACAATCTTGGTTGACAATCACAAGTCGAACATCCAAAAGTTTTAAACTAAAAGGAGATTATTCTAGAGGTGATAACAAGAAATCAGGGTCAATTGGATCAGATTGACATTCTCTTATTGATTGAAAATAAGCGATGATGGCAAAAAGGCTCAAAGGGAACAAATAATAACATTAAATAGACAAGGAATAAATAGAGCAAGATGTAGAACATTAAGGGATGCTAGGGGGTTAACAATTGAAATGTGTCTAAAAAAAATGAAGAAGAAACTTGATCATCATTTTGAGCCCAGTAACACTTTTAATTGAGAAGATAAAGCACCATTTCAAATCACTCAGGAGAAGCAGAGACCAAAAAGTATGTTACAGAAGGCTTTCCTAAGCTAGTCTTTGAACTTTTACCCCAAAGACAGCTGGATTCCAAGAACTTTTGAAGTTTGAATCCTGATGAATAACTTCTTAACCAGTACAAAACTCATATTCGCTATTGCAACTAAAAATGAAAAAGGGTGTTTTTGTGCAGGAGTCCCCTCTTAACACCAGACCAGTTTGCTTGTTTTTGAATTTCAAACTTATGTGGCAAGGAAGCAATGTACCATAAAGAGTGAAAAAGAAACCCTCAGAAGTAATGATCCCATATTGGAGGTCCGATGCTTTGCCTTGCCCATATTTGTGAACTTGTGCCCTCCAGTTTCCTCCCAATTTGAAGGTTGGAGATTTGTTTTATGAAATTTATGAGGCAACTAGGTTGCACTTTTTGACATGCTTATTTCTTATATTCATCGGAAAGGAAGTTTGGATATAATAGTCTCTTTTACCGGCTGCACCTTCTTTGGAATTGCCACAGACATATATAGCACCATTGACAGGTTTGTGAGAGGTTGAATGACACATATAGGTCATTGATTCTAACCATAAATGCAATCTAGGTTGCATGTGTCTCTGAAGCGATGGAATTCTACAGATGCATAGTAAAGGGAAGAAAGCACATAAAAAACAATGCACCCAATAATCTCATAATTAGGAGTTATAAATGTAGATTTGCCCTACTTATTTGTGCTTGTGATAAAATAACTGTAGCCGCACAAATGTTCTCTTGAACTCTTCTTTTTCTCCACTTTCTTTCTCTCTTTTACCTTATTGTTTTCCCCAGCTGGTTCAGCAATGGGTGCTGCAGTCATTGGTATTCTTTTAGTTTCAGCAAGTAGCAACATCATCGATTGTAGAGTGTACTGTTAGTGTCTGTGACCATGACTGAATGCAGGTTAGAATGAGCTGTTTTCAGTTAAATAATGGGGTGTTTGTGTTTGGTTTCTCTGGTTTGTTTTTGAACATATTTGTCTAGTCAAAATAGCAAGCCAAGCCAAGATTTCTTTTGACATTTTTGACAATTGTTTATGATCTCATTCCATTCATGTGCTGACAAGTTCATGAATGGCTTGTTTTCCACACAAAAAATTGAAGATTCTTTAATTGATCCTTTAAGTAACCTAGTCAAGATAGTTGTTGCCTTGTTGGTTTTGAAGCAATAAATATACCCTGGTGTAGTTACGAGCATGGTACCAAGCAATAAATTTGAGATATACGAGGAAAGGAAACAAGATGAATATGAATAGAGCACGAGAGGCCAAAAACCCAACCTCGCTTTGTAGTCTTTTGGGCCTTATACCCTCATTGTCATTTTTTCTTCTTTTTCTCTCTTTTACTTTTCTTCTTCTCATCTTTTTTTGTTTTATTTGTTTTTTCGAGGTATGTCTATAATAGAGTTGAGAAGTGGGCATTTTTAATTTGAATCGGTTTCTTTCCAAACCTGACTAATCATTCACCTACTATCTTTTGCATAGGCCGATTTAGAAGGCTTTACTATGCACATGCCTGATGGCTTGGCTTTTGATGTAACATTTAATGAAGATAAATCAGTTGCATGATTGAAGCTTGATGTGATTCTTTTTGCACTAGTTGATGTTAAAGTTGATTGAAATAGCAAGTTTATCCAGCTTGTGTAGCGTTTAGCTTATCATTGTTAAGAATGTTAACATATTTGTTTACTTGAGCAGAGTGAACAATGTTGATGTAGCTAATGTTAGTGGATCTGGTCAACCATTTCCACAACATGTGGGTCAGATAAGAAATGACTGTGACTCGGCAAAGGATACAGGAAGCGTGGATGATTTTTCAAGAATTACCGAAGGTACGCCATTATGCAACAAGTGATCTTATGGACTTACAATGCCCAATGTTTTCCTACAATTTCTTTCATCTGTTGGTCCTGCTATTAGCAGTAGGGTTGGGTAGGTTATAGGAAATTTCTGCAGTCACTATAAATTGTATTGGAAAAGGTTGGTGTTGAGTTTAAGTCACTACTTATTTTATTCTTCTATCTATTGTGATTCAGATGGAAAGAGGTTTGGATCAGGGAATGATGTTGCTCACTATCTTGGCATCAAGTCAAGCTACACTTATGTTGACATTGGTGAAAAAAGTGATGTTTCTGGAGTAGTGCAAAGGTCTTTGCCTCCTCGCCGAAGGAAAAGAGATCTTTCAAGAACATGGACTGCAACTAGTTCATCAGAGAACCAAGAGAGTGTGAGGGTTAACTGTAGCGGGGAGCCTTCTTCCGATAACGAGGTTATGGAATCACAGTACTCTGATTTTAGGAGACCTTCAAGAGTTACAAATGCTTATACAGAGGAAAATAATGGCCATGGATCTCAAATGTTGAACGTATGTATTTTTGTGTTCCTTTACTGATGTTTTAATTCTTTGGTTCTGTTGACTTATCTCGAGTCTAGTGATTTTGGAGCAGCGACCAATGATGCAATAAGTAAATGCACTGCATGTGTGTACGTACGTTATATGCCTTAACTGCCTGTATAAACATACATTATGCAAGGGCTTGCTTGTAGTTGAATGACCCTATGCTGGATGCTGCTGCTGGTAGCAAGAGGGGGGGGGGGCACAAAGTTAGAAATTAGAGAGAGTCTTCTTTTCTGGTGGGTTAGGTATTCCATTGTCTTTGTTGGTGAAAAGTTGCTATCTAATGAACATAATTGACAAAAGGGGTCACGCCAATTTGACAATCTTGGTGGTTGCTTTTGATGGTGTAGGGCCGGCAGTAGATATACATGGACCAGACATGGCAAAACAACCCTTGATGTTGATGCATACTTGTATTTCTGTATTTATGCGTCGATCATGTTCATATTTGATGTCTTTGTCTGTCTACGTTTACGCACTGATGTCATGTTCGCAAGATTTTGTCCAATATTTGATAGAGTCTTGTCAAATTTTGGTAGGCTATTTAGGAGCCTTATATGAACCTCGTAAACATATGTATTTATGCATAAGCAACACACTAGATTCTTTAGTTTGTTATATCTTGTGGTTGCATGGTGTATCTTTTGTTTTCAGAGAGTTTATAAACTTTCTTGTTTGTTTTCTTTTTTCTTGCAACCAGGGTTGTCTCCCAGTTCAGTATGAGGATTTCTTTGTCATTTGTTTCGGAAGAATTGATTTGCGATTGGCATATCATAACAACTGTCAGATCTGGCCTGTAGGATATAGATCAGTTTGGCATGACAGAATTACAGGTTCTATTTTTGAGTGTGAGGTCTCAGATGGGGGTGATGCTGGACCTGTATTTAAGGTACGAAGGCATCCATGTTCGGCATTGCCAATTCCAATTGGACAAACTGTTCTTTTGTATAATAATGCTAACAAATGTGATGCATCAGAAAGAACAGAAACTAACTGTGTGATCTTAGAATCTGATTTGGAGAAAGACGATGACATTATAATGCTCCTATCGGATCCAAGTTACTCGGATCTGGAACAGGTATCATGCTTCAGTAGCAACTTGTGTGGAAACTCTCATGGTACCTCCACACAGATGGAAGTGGATGAACCAGATGGTTTGACTAGCCACTCAGAAAAGTTTGATGATTCTTCGGTAAGGACTTCCACTTTGAGGGATGAAATTGGGGATTTCTATGTGGAAGGACGATCATCATTCTCAGTGTGGAAGATGGTCTCCCAAACTCTTGTTGACTCATGCCGTGAAGTTTATAAGCAGTCAGGTTCGTTGCAGTTCACCTGCAGGCATAGAAATCAAATTTCATCGTCCTTAGCAGATAATGGAAGACCAAGATTGGTAGATCATCTTGGTACCTTAGCTAGGTTTTGCAGTTCTGCTGGTCCCACTAATATGCCACAAGTGATTCAGAATCATACAGAGTTTGATTTGTCATGCCAATTAGTTGCAGAATGGTTAAATCAGGACAGATTTGGATTGGATATGGGTTTTGTAAAGGAAGTCATTGAAACGTTTCCTGAATCACATGCGTGTACAGGATACCAGTTTCTGGCTAATAGAGCAGACTTTTCAAAGTCGATGACTGTTGCTAGTGGAGTGATCTTAGCAGTACAAAGGAACGGTGATGGAAGTGAAGATAAAGTTCCCTCATATGGTTTATACAGAAGACAGATGATGTTAAAACAACAAGATTTTGCTGCAGACCACCAATTAAGTGACCGCCAACCTCCACCAGGGAAACCTTGTAGCAGAAGGCTTCCTGCAGAGCTGGTTGGAGATGTTTATCAGGTATCATATTCTTTTCGACAACTAAAAAAAAACTGAGGAATACATATATATCGACATGTTTCTGTTTCTATTAATATTACCCATAATGCCTTTTTTCCTCTTGTATCAGATATGGGAATTTCTTTGGCGTTTTTATGGGACTCTGGGTCTAAATGAACCTCCAACGCTTGAGGAACTTGAAGAAGAACTTATTGATCCTTGGCCCATTGACTCAAAGTATATGGAGAAGCTGGAAAAGGAAATAGAGGATTTTAGAGAACCAGATGGTCGGATCTCACTGTCGACATGTGAGTCTGGTTCAACAGCATCTGAAGTGAGTCCATTTATGTTTATTCCAAACGAAACGGCATCAGCAAGGGAAGCTGCTCAAGCTAAATTGGCATCACGTACTTATGGCAGATGTACTGGTGTAACATTGACTAAGATTCATATTTCACTGCTGAAAATTTTGATTGGGGAGATCCTTGGTAAGGTTACAGTTTATTTAGATCCAAATTCTGATGCTAGAGAATCAAGATCTAGACGTGGTAGAAAGAAGGATGTTGAGAACACTGTTGCTGTAAAAGAAGCTAAGACTGAAATACTACCTGCTAATGAACTAACATGGCCGGATTTGGCTCGGAGATATATTTTAGCTGTTTTATCTATAAACTTTGTTATGGATTCACCAGATGTCTTCACTCGTGAAGGTTTGAAGTTGGTCCGCTGCTTACAGGGTGATGGTGGTGTCCTTTGTGGTTCTCTTTCTGGTGTTGCTGGTATGGAAGCTGATGCAATGGTAAGAAAGTTGATGTCCGTTGAGTTCAGTAACTTTCAAAATTTTATCAGTGTTCAGTAATTTCCTCAAAGTAGGTTTTCTTGATTGTACTAAATTATTTGACTCTCAGCTGCTTGCAGATGCCGAAAGACAGATATCTGACTCTAGATTACAAGAAAATAAAGTTTTGCCTGTTGACCAGAAGGACTCTGATGCAGTCAGTACCTCTGAGCCTGCTGTAGTGAATGGGAACAATCTTCCTGAGTGGGCATTACCACTAGAACCAGTGAAGAAGTTGCCAACTAATGTTGGTACGAGAATAAGAAAGTGCATTTATGATGCATTGGATCGAAATCCTCCAGAATGGGCAAAGAAAATTTTGGAGCATTCTATAAGTAAAGAGGTCTATAAGGGAAATGCCTCAGGACCAACCAAGGTATTGATTGATTTTGTTTAATTCTGTTGTGGTTTTTTCAATTTCATTTATTTTTCTGCATCTATGCTATTTGCTTGCTTAATGATTTAACTTATTTTTGGACGAAATTTATGCTTTATTTGCTCATACGAGAGAACGTTAAATTGTGATGCAATTTTGGGTAATCTTTTCCATATGTTGGGTAAGCATGATAGAGTTGATCCTAATTTTCAAGAATGTGGTTGACTGGAGTTGAGTTTCTTTGTTTTGTGATCATGATATTCTTTAGTTTTGGTGAGCTTGAAGGCTGAAACAGTATCTACTAATATCACCAACCATGCACATGAATTTTTTTTAAACTTATGACTAGAAAAATATTTTCATTTATTTATCTTGCCTAAACCTTTTATTTATCTCTTATACCATTTTCTAGATAATCGTGCTTTGTGCTACTTGTAAAAGCAGAGAATGAATGTTTGAAGCATGGGAACTAATGGCACAGAAAAGACTATATATCGATATAAGTTTTTTTTCTTCTTTTACATGATTATAGATTTATAGTTTTTCTTTTGATTATCCTTTTTGCAATTTTTCTTAACGTATATCATAAATCAACTTGGAAGCAGAGCCAATGAGTAACATTGCTTTTGCAACAGGTTATGGGGATGTTGTAGATTGGAAACTCGAAAGAAGTAAGATGTGGAAAAGGCCATAAGATTTGCCATCTTTTCATGAGTCGTAACATGTTAGTCATAAAACTTTGAATCATTAAGGGGATGGTAATGTTTGATCTTCCTTTCAAGTAGTGAGTTGCTTGAAATAATGATGCAAAAGACAGTTATAGTTTGTCAAAAATTAAAAGTGAGAACACAATAACCTTATTAGTGGTGTATGGCTTTTTATTAGTCGTAAGATGAAGGGAAACATGAGAATGAATATCTAATGGGTGGTAAAGAATAATGTTACCATGATTACTCATCATGACTTGGTCCTATGTTTCTTAACTTACTATACTTTTTTCTATCAAGTGCATATGATGTGAAATCATGTCATCAGTATGCTGCTTTTTCTTGTTGGTTTGGTGCAGAAAGCTGTTCTATCTGTGTTAGCAGAGGCATCTGGTGGAAAACACCAGCAAAAATCTGAGAAGAGAAGTAAAGAGAAAAGCCCTATATCTTTGTCTGATGCTGTTATGAAAAGATGTCGTATAGTACTACGTCGTGCTGTTTCTGCTGATGAAGGGAAAGTTTTCTGCAATTTGCTTGGTTCTCCCATTGCGAATGTTAATGATAATGAAGATGAAGGTGTTCTTGGATTTCCTGCTATGGTTTCTCGTCCTTTAGATTTCCGCACAATTGACTTAAGGTTGGCTGTTGGGGCTTATGGTGGATCACATGAAGCTTTTCTTGAGGATGTCCGGGAGGTATGCCTATACAGTTGCTTCCTTTTGATGAGATTTTTGAAAGAATGAGGTTCAGACTTGAGACTGTTTTTAATGGTCCTTAGTGTGTTATTTTTGCTTTTACCTGAACTCTCAAGGGAAATTTTGTAGTATTGCATCTACCACCCATGTTTGATTGATTGTCATCTCTCCATGCCTTTTTTTTTGTTTTTGTGTGACACTTATGAGGTCTACCATGTTAATTCATTAGTCCATTAAATTCTTTTTTGTATTTTGCAAATTTGCAAAGCCATCCCTAAAATTTGGAGCACCTTCCAAGAGATAATATGTCATGCATATTTTATGACAAATATCGATGCCAAATTAAGGACTATGGTCTTTTCATGCTGATCCTGTGTTAACAGGCTGTTGTGGTTAGTGCAGCTGGTACTTGAAATGTTCAGGTCCACAATAGTGTCAGATGCATTTTAGTTTTGACTTGTACTTCATTCTTTGCCAAAACAAAAGAAGATATGCTGATATTTCTCTTTAAACTTAAAAGATGGTTCTGGAAATGGTATATGAATTATTGAAGTCATAAGGGAAAGAGCAACCTAGAATGAATTGGTGGAAAATTTTATTTAATAGCTTGATATAGACGTTGAACATGTTGAAAAATCTATGTCATTGTTGTGATAGTCAAAGTCTAATTTAACTTTCTTTTGTTATAGTATATGACTATATGTATGCAAATTCTAGCTATTTAGTATTATGGGTGATTGAGTGTGGGAGAAACAAGTATTTTTGATAACTTCTAGAAGATAGAAGTTATTTCTGATAACACAATTAGTGTAAAAAATACATCGCACAAAATAAATATTTGCATATTAATTTTATCAATTTGGACAAAATAAATAGTTACTAGTGTTAGAATTGTCCAAGTATGTTCAGTGAGTTTTCTATAACTATGGAGTTACATGATGGAGTTCATAACTTCATATTTCTTTAAACAGTGGTAATAGATGGATGTATTTGCCAGGATAAACCTCTATGGTGTTGTATTTGCCAATGATATAGTTTTTGTTGATGAGAGTTCAAATGAGATCAATTTTAAACTTGAATTATGGAGACAAATCTATAGACTATTGGCAATAGATAAATGTCTCAGACTGAATATATGGAATACTTATTTCAGTAGTACTAAGAGAATTGAGGATATAGTTAGCCAAGAAGTTTTTACAAGGAAAAAGTTTTATGCATTTCAGATCTGTTATCTGGCAAAATGGAGAGGTGATGGAGTTTTACTTATAAAATAGAAGTTAATTGGTTAAAGTGGAGAGGAGCATGAGTGATTTGTGTGATCATCAAATGTCCTTTAAATTTAAAAGAAACAGTGATTTAAAAAGGCACTCGGGTGCTCGCCTAGGTGCTCGGGTGAGGCGAGGCGAGGCAAGGCCCAAGCGCGTCGTTTAAGGGCCAGGTGGCACGCTTCAATGAGGCACCGCTTGGGCGCTTCGGGCGAGTGCCCGATTGTTATAAGGTGATCAAACCGCTTAAATTTGCATTAGTTGGTTTGATTAAACCAACTAACGCATGCAGTTATATCAGCGCGCGACCCCGACTCCCAACTCTACGCATGCTTCTCTCTCTGTTTCCGTCGTTGACGATTTCTCCCTCTGCGTTCGCCATAGACGATTTTCCCTTTGCCTCTGTCGCCGATGGTTTCTCTTGTTGCTTCCGAGTCTTCCTTTGTCGCCGATCAAGTCTCCTTAGCTTATGTTGTTGTCCGCTGTTTGCTGTTGTTGTTTGCTGCCGCTGTCCACTGCTTGCTGTTGTCTGCGACATGACTCCGCTGCCGTCGCCGCTATCCGTTGCCTCCTACTATCTGTGACTCTGTAGCTTCCGTTGCTGTCTGCTGCCTGCGACTTCTTACCGCCGACTTCTCAGCACGACTTCTTTGGTCTCTACTCTTCCCTACTACTATTAACAGTAAATGTACTATTAACAATTAACAGTATATTATTAATTACCATTCAAAATAATCTTTATTTATTAAATTAATAATATACTATTTAGATTTTAACACAGCTAATCTTTGTTTTTAATTTAATATCATATTTTTATTTAAATAATTATATTCATTAATTATATTATATATATATTTTTTTTATATTTTAATATTTTAGAGCTTTTCGTTTCGCTCGGGCGAGTGCCTAGTGCTTTTTAAATCATTGAAAAGAAATACACAAGAAGGTTGTTAGAGCAGCCATGCTATATCGATATGACTGTTAGTCTGTTAAAAAAGAAACATGCACAAAAAGAGTTTGTGTAGCTGAAATAAGAAATATCGTCTTTTATAATCAAGTCATAGGTTTCTGGCATGCTGTATTATGTATTGTTGATTTCTGTTCTTATACTTGAAACCTTGGTAAGGGAAGAAGTTGGATTCTTAACAATTCAAGGTTTAAATCAAAATGCAGCAACACCTGATAATAAGAATAGTGAGGTGTTCTCAGAACGTTGATGCATGTTAATTATTTTTTCTTTGTTGTCTCCTGATGCTTTGGTGTAAAATCCTGTGTTTTATTATACATTTATCTGTAATAAGACTCATATTTTATGTGTGTTAGCTTAATAGTTGATAGACGCAGAAAATACAAATAATTTTGGTTGCTCCCAGAGTATCATGAGATGGATTAGAACTTTACATGAGTTGGACTTCTGGAATGACTGCATAGTATAGACATATATGTGCTAACCCATTAGGCATAATGTCAGGGACCACTTATGCCCATCCTCCTAGCATGTTATTGGCATATAGGCACACAGCTGAAAACCTTGCTAATTATCATGGAAATTAAACTGAGATGTCAGTCATTTTTTCTTGGCAGGTATGGCATAACATATCCACCGCATATGGGGATCGGCCTGATCTTATGCAGTTGGTTGAGACATTGTCACAAAAATTTGAATCATTGTATGAGAAAGAGGTCTGTTGCACATTTTTTCGCTTTCCACTTGTTTCTTTATGTAGTTGACTTGGTTGATGAAATTTATGATTGTAGTTCACAACTGCTATAACATGATCTGATAGTATAATTCAAAGATATTTTAGCATTGTAATTGGATTTAAGATGAGTATAACTTTTTACCTAACACTTTAACAGTGTGTTCTCTTAGTACCAGATACTTCAGCGTATGGAAACAGTTGATCATTGTTAAATCCCATAATTTGAGAACATTTAATATCTTACTTTCACTACTCGAGTAATATTCTGGCAGAGCATGTCTAGCCAAATAATTCGTTGGTTTCTGCACTTACACTTCCATTAACTAGTTGGTATATCCCTTTGTGTTCAGTGATCATGTATCAGCATATTCATGGTGTTTCACAATCCACCAGAAACACCAAGGTGTCTTATGAAAAATTATTATTTTTAAATATTTGTGTTTGTAATTCAAATTATGCTTCTGTATATTTCCTTTGGGCCAAAAGCATCATTTTGGGTCTAATTACCTTGCTTTAGGCCTATTCAGCAGTAGATTAAGATTTTGAAGTGGGTATGATGGCTTCTGCAGGTGCTTATTCTAGTGGAAAAAATTGCTGATCATGTGGGTAATGAGCCTTTAGACACTGAAAAGCGGAAAGAATTGTATAATATTATTCTTGCAGCAAATGAAATACCGAAAGCTCCTTGGGAAGAGGGAGTTTGTAAAGTTTGTGGCATTGACAAGGATGATGACAGTGTTTTGCTATGTGATTCTTGCGACTCTGAATACCACACATATTGTTTAAATCCCCCTCTTGCTCGGATTCCAGAAGGCAACTGGTATTGTCCATCATGTATCAGGATTCAATCCAAGAAGCAGGATCTAGATCAACACACAGAAGTTACCAAACGCCATATGAGGAGACATCTGGGAGAGGAAGGTCGTGCTTTTCAAGAGGCTCTGTATCAGCTAGCATGCACAATGGACGAAAGAGAATATTGGGAGTACAGCGTTGAGGAGGTTAGCTTACGTGTGCCTTTCTTTGATCTGCAAACACTGCATTGTTATTATTAGGTTTCCTTTCTACTCTGGGATTTTCTGTCTTTTTGTCAGAACAACAATTTCTTAAAGTACCATCTTATGCATGATTTCCAGTCTTAGATTTTAGACTCTCAGTAGTTTTTTGGTTGTAAATATCAAGTAAACATATGCAAGTTGTTTTCTAAAAATATGTGTTCACATTTAACAGACAATTTCAGACTGTTGTTTCATTTTCTGTGCAAACCACTCATTTTTAACTGTTTCATTGAGCAACTGGGTACACATGAACTATTCATGCAACAAATAGTGTAGTCAAAAGGTGCTAGGCACTAAAAAGTGCCAAGGTGCTGAAACGTCCGAGGCGTTAGCACCTGCCCGAGCAAAGTGAAGTGCTTGCCAATATAATTTTTTTTTTTTAAAATAATTATCTCACAGGGTGATGTTTTATATCTAAAAAATGGGTGACGTTAGTCACTCGCCAATCTAACAAGTGATGTTTTAGATCAAAATAGCAGCAGAGGTCATTTGCAGGAAATGTTTATCTCATAGTGCTAGTTCAACAGAAGATTATTTCAAATTGCTGTTTCAAGTTTCAACAAAAATATAATCTCAAAGTGATGTGATTCCAAAAGTTTATCTCAACTTACACCTCGTTATGCATTGCGTGCTCAACAACAGCAAACAGTAAAGCATACAACAAAGATAAAGCATGAAAGAAGAATTAAAACAACAACAAACAAGAAACGGAGAAAGGGATCAAAACTACATCAAACAAAAAGGGATTGCTAAGAGTGTTGTTTCGTAGTCTTGCACAGGATAAAGAGGAGATGGAGAAGATGCTGGTGGAAAGCTTTTAGTCTGGAGTGGGCCAAAATAAAGGCAGAGGAGAGAATCTCTGGCGGAGAGCAAACGCTTTGGTGGGTAGCGGAAGATGCTTTGGTGGCATAGCCTTGGGTCTGGTCAATAGTTGGCGGAGGAAGCAACACCATTGGGGGAGATGAATTGATCAGCAGGCAGCATATGGTTTCCTTCTCGATTGCAGAAAGGGATCAGGCTTAGTCAGGGTTCACACTGTGGGTGGTTGTTCTGGGCAACGGTTATGATGGAGGAAGGTAGTGGTCGGTGATGGCGTATTGGCAAAGGATGGTTGTGATCAACATAGGATTGCTTCATGAAAAGGGATTGGGTGCACGTGGGAGAGGCAAGGAGTGTATGAAAGGGTTTAATTGGTTTGGTTGACCAATTAAAGCTAAACAAATGAGTATGACCACAAACCTGGCCTCATTTAACGCAGGTGCACGTTTGAGCCACCCGACCCGCTCGACGCTTAGGCTCAGGCATGCGTCTGGCTGCGTCTAGTTGTAGGCACCCGCCTGGCCCACCATTGAGGTGCTTGGGCGTTGCCTTGCCCTGCTTGGGCACCTAGTCAAGCACTCAAGCGCCAATGACTTCCATGGCAACAACATACTGTACGTGCTGGTTTTAAAAATATAAATTTCAGGCTTATATAATTACCTGTGATCATCTGTTTTTGTATGTTTTGTGACATCCTTGGATCGAGAGTTTTTCTATTTAATTCATGTTCCGTCTTCCTTGATATTGTTATAACATTCTTTAAGGTAAATGAACATTATGTATAGTTTTTTTGTTTTATTTTGTTGATGGATGGTCATGTGAAGATTGTCCTGACATGCTTCATGGGACTATGTCTTGTGAGGTAGGTTATCTGTTGCCAGTATTACTATTGTATGCCAGCCTGGCACATTGAATTGCTGTGCTGACATGGGTACAATACAATGAATGTGTTGGTTTGTGTATTTTACTTTTTGGTCCTAGATTATGTTTGTTGATGTTCATATAATTATGGGAGTTGCATGATTCTCTTTTGGACCTTGAGCCAGTACACTTTCCTTTTCATTATCCATTTTGGATGAGGATAAGGAATATGTAAGAAGCAAACTGTGCAGATAATATAACACATCCTGGAGAAAGTAAGTTTAATTCATGATTTATACTGCACAGTTTTTATCATGTGGGTTAGACATATATGGTTGCCACTGGCCATATTTCATTGCTCAAGATCATTTCTATTTACTCTGCACTTAGAATGCGATCTGATAATAAAGAATTCAGAGCTGATGATCAGTGACATGTTGTAACATTACCTACCACACTATGTAATCTACTTCTCCAAACTTCTCTTTGTGTTGCATATATTTATCATCATTTAACAAATTGATGACTATTTTTGAATTATTTGGGTATGCTTTCTGCTGGATTCCTTTCTTTTTGTGCTTATGTGGCCATGTTTTGGTACTTTGGTTCCTTTTGAGTTTGTGATAATATTTTTGCTGTTGATTTTTTACTGAAGTTGTTGAAATGACATATCTGACATATTCAATCATAACAATTCGAACTGGCGTTTACTTGTGGATGTGGAATTATGTTTATACTCACTCAGGATTCATTTGCAAATCATGTGTGCAATTCTTTGTCTCTGTTTTCTGTTTTCCATTAATTTAAGAATGTAATTTTCAAGGCAACAACATCATGTTAATATGCTCATTGCTCCTCTTGGGGTTTTTAATGGATAAATGCTACTACACAAAATTTATCAATTGATATATTCTATTATTTGTGAATGGCAGAGAATATTTTTGCTGAAGTTTCTGTGTGATGAGGTGCTGAACACTGCACTTGTTAGAGAACACCTCGATCAGTGCACTGAAAAGTCAAATGATCTGCAACAAAAAATACGAACTCTAGTTATGGAGTGGAGAAATTTGAAATTTAAAGAAGAACTATTGGCCTTGAGCATTGCAAAAGAAAGTACGAGTAAATTTAATGAACCTGGTGATGTTGCAAGTGAAGAAGGAGAAGCTAATATGTACTCTGGCCATGGTAGGTTAGTTGAATATCAGCAAAATGTTAATAACTCTTCTGTGACTGATTCAGGAAATCGACTGAAAGGTGCATCTTTCATTATTGAGGGCTGCCCTGGAGAAGATGGGCGAATTGATTTCAGCAAGAGTGTGGGCCAGTTATTTAAGAGTAGTGTGATAGACACCCATGCTGATGGTAGGAAATCTCAAGTTCAGTCTGGTGAGAGAGATGTTTTGGAAGAGCGTTCAGTGCCTGGTAATCTGAACCCCAATACAACCGTTGGTAAGGAAGATCAAATTAATGAACAAGATGAAAGATTATTACTAGTTTCTGCACAACAAGATAATAAGGAATCAACGGAAGAATCCATCCATGGTTTTCAGCATGAAACTGAAAAAAGGGAGTTGCCGGTTAAGGAAAGCAGCTTGCTTGGTAGACCTGATTTGATGCAAGCTATAAATATGAAAAGGAATGCTGGAGTGCTGACCAATGCTGATAATCTTCATGGTTCTTCTCTGGGTTCTGACAGTGGGAGGTTACAATCAAGGGAGAATTATATTACAATGATTACGGGGTTAGTCAAAACATCTGGAGAGTTGCTCGCCTCTAAAGGTGTTCTCCAGGAAAATGCTGATGATGTTCTTGTAACTTCTAGTGAGCATGAGTCCAGTGATCTTGGAATGAGTGGTTTGAAGAATGAAATTTCACACATTGAGGAGTCAATATTCAGTTTTGAATCTCAGCTTATGATGTCATCTTTGAGAAGGGACTTCCTTGGAAGGGACTCATTTGGTCGATTATACTGGGTTATAGGTAGACCTGGTAGGCATCCTTGGTTGGTTGCTGATGGAAGTATAACAGTGCCACAGGAAAGAAACAAAGTTGAAGATTTTAAGGACCCCAAGGCTGATGTTCTTATGGATATGGTCTCCTCTTGTTCAGTACTCATGAGGACTGGACCAGGAGGATCAGATGCATGTAGTACATCTACTTGTGATATGCATGATCGGAACTTTTGTTCATTTTCTTTGTATGAATCTGACAATGAAATTCAGGAAATTACTAGTTGGTTGAGTGATGCCGACCCTAAGGAAAGAGAGCTGAAGGAATGCATTTTGCAGTGGCAAAGACTTGTACATCAAGTGACCAATCATATTTCTAATAGTTCTCAACTAACTTCTAAGTCTTCCACTAGCAAGAATTGCACAGTCGCTCAAAGTTTAACTACAAAGGCCATGATGATCCTTGAAGCCAAATATGGTCCTTTCTTGGATCCAGAAGTGAGTGAAATTCCAAAGCGAAAAGGGAGGAAAGCAAAACAAAATCATGAGAGAATGTACAGATGTGAATGCTTAGAAGCCATATGGCCTTCTAGACACCACTGTTTGTCCTGTCACCAATCATTTTTGACTGCAGTGGAACTCGAAGGACATAATGATGGAAGGTGTACCCCTAATAATCCTGTATCTGATGAAAGTAAAGAAAATGATGATATAATAAGAGTCAAGGGAACAAGATCTGAGAGCACTAGGGGAAAAGAAAATCCTGATGATGTTGATTTTGTTGATACGTCAAAGAACAAAATTGTAGATGCCAGCTCCAATCTTGTTAGAATTTCAAGGAAAGCATGTCCTTATGATTTTGATGAGATCAGCAAAAGGTTCATCACAAGAAACTCTAACAAGGAGTTAGTGCAAGAAATAGGTCTTATCGGGCTAAATGGACTTCCGTCCTTTGTCCCGTCGCCGGTTTTCTTTCTGAATTCTGCATTAGTGCTGAACCCAAGCCTGAAGTCCGATACTAATATGAATAGTGAGTTGGCCTTTGCTTCAGAAGGATGGTTGCTATCATCCATGCAAAGGGGAGGAAAAGGCATAAGTGCAACTCAGGATGAAACTGGAAAAGGAACCAGACAAGCCAACATTTCTGCTCATAATTTTCATGGTAATGTTAATGATGAACAATCTCAGAGAACAAAAAAATCGAATACAGGTTCTGGTGATGGTGAAGAAGCATCCTCTATAACTAATAAAATTCAACGATCTGGCCGCAGCTGCACAGTTCCTGAGTCATCATTGAGGCCATTAGTTGGGAAGATCTCTGAGATTCTTAAGTGTCTCAAGGTTAATTTACTTGATATGGAGGCTGCCCTGCCAATGGAAGCACTGAGACCATCAAGGTCACAGATGCCGAAAAGATGTGCATGGCGTGGGTTTGTGAAGTCTTCAGAGTCCATATTCGAGGTGTGTTGAGTTACTCTGGTGATTTTTTCATTTCTTTGGTTTTCACTTGTTTTTCTATTGCCACGCTGAGGGTTTTAAGGTTTTATGGTCCAGAGTGAAATTGTTGGCAGCAATAGTGTTGTCAGATCATTTATGCTGTTTAGGTAGTGGTTAATTAACTTCCTTTCAGTTGGAATGCAGCTAAATACTTTTTTCTTTATGCAATGTGGACTGTGTTGTTCTTTACAAGCTGGTGCTATTTCGATCTTAGGGCTGGAATATCTGTTTTGCTGTGATTAGCAGCTTAGAAACTTTAATTTTAACTAATTCTTTCACTAGTTGTTTTGGAGAAACTGAAGTTTCTTTTCTGCAGTCACCTGCAAAAGTATTCCATTCTTGTCTCCTGATTCTTTATTAATATGCTTAAGACGAATATTGTATCTTAAAGGATCATGACAATCTGAAACATGTCTTGCTTTAGCACCACTATTGTATTATTGCTAATATTTAGTCATCTTGTACTCTTAGAATGCCTGATAAAGGTCTGAGATTGGTGGTTATTTTAGAGATCTATGCCATAACCAATTGTTTGAACTCTTCAGTTTCTTTAAACTATGACCTGCCACTGACATGTCTTGGTAAATAATATGATAAGCTCCACGAAATACTATTTGAGTGTATTGGTACTTTTCCACTATGGTTTATTTTTGGGGGCCAGTTGGTTTGTAGGAATGTTTGGATTTGAGATCAGTGAATTTGGTTACCTGAAGATTTAAAACTTTCTGCTCAGCGTTCTCAATTGATTTTCCACATTGGCTGCTAATGTGACTTTTCTTCAATTTACAGTTATTTTTTATTTTGCTTAGCTTTTATTTTTTTTAACTCAAAACATATTGATACAACTATGGCACTGTTTCTTACTTGTCCTGATAGTTGTTTTGTTCTGCCAATAATGCAAAAAGGCTATGGTCAAAGTAAAACTGTACAATTGACTTTCTATTATAATCCTTGATTATGTTTTCAAGGCATTCTTGAGGATTTATATGGTCACAGAAGAACTATACTTTTTGCAGGCATTAATGAGAAGCAGAACACTGCATGATTTTTTTTTTGATGGTAAGCAATCTTGAGATTAATTTGTAATTTTGGTCCCCTTTTAGCTGCGCAAACACCTCTACCTGCCCCTCACATTTGGTAGTCCCACTTACACTGTATTTCTATATTCTCCCATTGGAAATTTGTATTTATGTCCGCACCCCAACCCCGCTGCTGGCCCCTAGAAAAAGAACATTGCTGTTACATTATTTCATATTATTTTTGTTGCAACTGGCACTTGTTAATGAGCACATCTTCCATGGAAATTCAGTAGGTCCTCCTGCTCATGACTTTTCATTGCTTAAAATCCTTGTTTCTATAAAAATAAAATTTCTGTGAGCATTTGCACTCAAATCGGATATAAAATGCAAATGCCACCATTACTGATTTTAATTGTTGAACACTGACAATATGCATGGTACTGCAGCACCATGTCATGAGTGACCTGTGCTCTCTCCAAAAGTTTTGGATAAGTTAATGTGTAACTTAAAATTTTCTTAGGAACACATTGTTTCACTGTGGTGGCTAGCGTGAGTGACAATGCATCATAAAGAGTTACTTAATACAGAGTTCATAGGAAAACCTCCTTTCACTGCCCTTGTTCTGATGAATTCTAACATATGTGGATTTTGTCAATTTACTAATGTTGTATTTGTAGTTTTGCATCTTTGGAAAGTTTGTATGTGAATCTTACCGAGATGTAGATTGGAAGAGCTTTTAGCTTGAAAGGCATGATATCTTGCTAGGATTCTGTGCTAGGAAGTTCATAACATATGCAACTGATATATTCTAGAATATCTGCAATCTTATTTCTCTCTTTTGCTCTTTCTAGATGGTTCAAGCAACAACCCTGTTTGAAGGCATGATCAAGACAGAGTACCTGAAAAATGGGTGGTGGTACTGGTCTTCTCAGACTGCTGCAGCAAAGACATCTACGGTTGCATCTCTTGCTCTCCGCATTTACACTCTTGATGATTCTATCATCTATGTGAAGGATCAAGTACCTGGTTCAGATCCCACAGAGAATCTGAAGCAGACAACCAAGACAGGAAAGAAAAGGAAAGATATTGAACTATGATCATAGTGTTATTCTTGGAAATGTTAGTGCAGAACTTGAAAGTTATGGATGTGGCAGCTTGATAATTTGTAATGGTTTTTATCAAGCGTCATGACCCTCATAAGATATAAACTGAAAAAAGAATACGGTGTTACTGCTACCGGGGTATACGTGAACATATATTTGAAAGTACAGCTGACATCACTTATATGATTTTTGCCTGGTTCAGAACTAGAGATCTATTTTGATGTCTATATCTCAGATGGACCAGGAGAAGGGTAAGCTGTCTGACATGGTGCAGTAGCTTCATAATTTGGTAACTTAAAAGGCAAACGTTTTGCCAAGGAGATTGACTGTCAGTGATTCGTACATCATACAAATGCTGCCAATATAGAGCTGCAGTTTGATCTGATTTAAGTCAAATATGAAATTGACCAATTGTTTCTTTACATCTCTCAGTCATATCCTTTTCCCCCTTGACAACATTCATGATGTTAGGGCATATTGTATTAGAAGAGGGTAGATAGTTTAATCGTTATTCGGTGTACCTTGCATCATAGGATATAAATAAACAGGTAGTGCTACTTTTCTTTGTGTTTCCTCAGATAGCTGTATCCTTGTTACCATTATCTGGTAATTGCCTTTTTCGTCTTACATGGAAATGCAGATATTGTTTTGTAATTTAACAAAGATGGCTTGGTGTTTTATACAGATGCTTCACTTAAGTTGGCTAATCCGGGATGGAGATGGCTAATTGCATTTCAAGTACCTTGTCTTGCATGGATGAATATTTGATATCCTTGGTATAGTTTTCTGATTATGCAGATAATTGGTATAAAAATGGTTGGCTACAAAGAATCCAAATTGACGATGGTGCGGCAATTCCTTCCAACCCTCTGGCATGTCATCACTTTAATCATAAGGTAATGAGACGGACCATTTCCAGGTAACATACACCAGCTTAAGTTAATGAAAGTTTTGAAATTTATTAATGTAATTTGTCATCATATTTTGTAATGCTTTTGACGATTGCCACAAAAAATTAATGCGTAAACTGTTACTTGAGATTGTGATAATTTGACTAAATCCGCATGGTTGAATTCATGTTGTGATGAAATGAATCCCATATCCGGTCTGGTGCATGGCTCATGAAAATTTTCTTTGATGAACACAATTCTTGTGTTCTAGTTGATTTTCTTTTCTTGTTTTTATTTTATGCTATTTTTGAAGCCTGATAATTTTTTACACTGACAGGTGTCAAATCACTGCTGCCTGAATAATGACTTCCATTGCCATGACTTGTGACACAAGCATTCAGGTTTATGATGCGCTTTTGTTAAATATTGACAAATGTCTTGTTATTTATTAGGTGTTATAATTGATGTAATTAATGACAGAAGGGATCCCTTTTAGTGTCTTGAGACTTGATGGTGTTATCTCCCGTTCTTTCACGTTTTCACAGCAATAGATCACAATTCATTTGGTGGATCGTTTCGTCTATTCTGAATCTAGGATTTTGATACACAATTGAATCTGAATTGCCGCAGTATTGTGCAGTCTTGGCCCAAAGAAGTGCCTCAGCTTATGAATTTACCCAAAGAATACCATTGTTCATGCTTCTAAAGATTCATGTTCATGTTACACGTGTTCTTGTTGATTCAGATACTGCAGTCTTGACTTTTGTCATGAGTTCATCAAAGGTGAGACAAAAATCTAATCGTCTTCCCAGTGTCCAATTCCTGTTGGTTTGCATTTCTGTGCTTCCTTTTCCTGACACACAAATACTTGATCATAGTTATTAATTGTCATGCATTCGTTACATACTTATCCATTGCAGCCGCACTTGTCTGCGTATTCACTACTTCTCTGGATGATTCTTTGTTCAGTTCGACTGTTTCTTTACTCATCATTAGAACAAGACAGGTATCTGAAAGAAGGATTTTTTTTTTTTAAGCTCATCGTGAAGAAAGTTTGACCAAACAAATAGGTTTACTTCTTGAACGAGGCATCTACTGTTCATTGTGGTCGTAAATCAAGACCGAGGCCAACAAGCTTGGGACTATAGGAAGAAGACGATAACTTCTCCGATTCTTGGAGGAGTGGGGTTGGCGGTCGGAAGAGATGGATCTGTGAGAGCGGCGGCGCCTCCGGTTCTTGGTGCGTTCATCCTCGTCGACCCACGTGGATGAAGAGGATGCCGCCTTTTGTCCTGCACGCGATACACGTATTTATTCGATCGAAAGCCCTCCTCGGCCCCCTCCTACTCCCGTCCCTGTCACCAGTAGCTTGTGCTGCCACGCCCGGCGCCTTGTGGGCGCAAAAGGAGGCGGCCTCAGATGTCGCCAGTTGTCACGACTGCTCCCCTTCCCTGCTCTCTTTATTTTCTCCCCCTCCCTGTCCCCCATTTGCCATCTAGGGTTACTTGAGCGTTTTCACCCCCTCTCCTCTCCCTCTCCACCATTCCTTGATTCCCTCTTCCCTTCTAATTCCTTCCTTCATCTCACATCAAGATGACCGTCGTGTCGCCGCTCCTTTCTGCAAGAAACACGCTTTAAGTCAACCCTCGTTTTTCTCCCGAGGGTGGAATGCAGTTAAGTCACTCCGCTCTCTCGTCTGTAAAAGGAAGAAGGGTAAATGAAAAAGGTGATGTCTGGACGCAGCGGTTTATCGATCTTTTCCTCGCCTTGTTGGATTTGGTTCTGATTTGGTCGGGATTCGGAGGGTGCAAAGCTGGAATCGGTCGATAAACCTCTGCATCCGGCCTTTCAAATCCCTGTTGCCTTTCACACTCTAAGCTTCTACATATAAGACCACAACATTTAAGTAGACCGGTCGTGACTTGAGAGATTGGTGTGAGATAAACTTCAGACATTTTATTAAGAATAAGACACTCTCAAAGATGTTTCTGTGTGAACCACTGCTTATGGACAATCGTAAACGCATGCCTCTTCTGTGTGCCAGTCAATAAATAGTCTTTCATGTTAGATGATGCAGTCTGTTTTCAGATATTGCTATTTTGATATTTCTTTTGGCTGTTAGAAGGTTTTTTATACTCTTGAAAGGTCAAGTTTAGTTTTGTTCATATTGTTTTTGTAATGTGCGTTTTAGATGATACTTTCTTTGATTTTCTCTAGTTATTTTTTTACCCATTTATGATTATGTTATTTCTGTATACCAAGATTACTTTTTTTTTCTGCATTCCCTTTTGCGCATTGGGAGCTGCCTCACTTTGTCAGAACAAAAAAATGAGGGATTGGTAGTATGCTGGAAGAAAAGACTTTGATCGAGGAACGAAAATAGAGTTGATTAAATAGATGAGACTGAAAGGATGGGTTTTTTTTTATGATAGTGATTGGAATATTCCTCTTCTGTTGGTGGTTTTAGTCTTGGACTGCATAATATCTTGTTCCCTTGATGCTTGATCTGTGAACTTGAGCTAACAGAGGGTTCTCTGTTTTTGCGCTAACATAGAGCACTTAGTCAAATTGTATGCAATGGTGTTTGTTGGTAAGCACAATAAGATGAGTCCCCTGTACGAATTGCAAATGCTTGATCTATGAATTTCAGTATGGAGGAATCACCATGTAGTCTTCCTTTACTTTTGTTCTTTGTACGGTAGAGCACAAATATAGTACTCATTTTTTCTTTAATTGAATGTCCATTGATGTTCCAAAGGTACCTTTTCGGAGTCCTGGAGAGGAAGGGTGATTTCTTAATGATGAAAGTTCTCTTATTGAACTAGTCATTCTTAAAGTAATGAATCACCTGTATTTTAAGCCTCTACAAGTTCTTTGATTTCATGTGTGTGGCTCTTGGCCATATATTATTATAAATAAATTCAAACCGATATTCTTGAGTGCATTCTACATAAATGGATGGTAAATCATTGTTGTTCTATGGCTGAACCAGATATACAATAAAGAGCACTGTTGTATATACAGAAATTTAATATGAAAATGATGAAATACAAATTGAACAATTCTTTAACCTATACATGCCTGTATATGTAACTGAAACCGATCGATGTGTTGGTTCCCATCCACGAATATGATAATGGTTAGTTAAGATAGTTAAGTGTAAAAGTTGCTTCTTAGTTTGTTCTTCCTTTCAGTACTTTAAAAGTTTTTCTGAAAATTTATTAAAGAATATGTCAAATGCAAATTTTCTATAAGCGCATACAACATAGTCTGCTGTTTGTCTTCATGCAGATGAAGATCGTGAGTGTAAAGGTTAACTATTGTAACTGTTATTTTGTTTTTGGCTTCATTTTTGTACTCTCTACTATTCGTTTGCTAAGCATTTGCTTCAGCTAATTTTGAGCTGCGACCCCATGTCTCTTGTCTGCTCGTGCTGTTGAGATTTCCTTTCATTTGCTTCACCTAGTTTTGAGCTGCAAGCCCATGTGTCTTGTCTGCTTGTGCTGTTGAGATTTCCTTTCAATGCTTTCACCATACTCCTTTGTCTCTACACGGAGGATGCTAGAGCAGATGCTTATACCATTAAGATTTGTTCCGAAATTCTTCACTTGATCTTTGTAAAATAGTTCTTTTGTTGGGAATAAGATTATTAGTGTACAAAAAATATACTTTCTGAACTCGGTTTTATGTTCCACTGACCTGTTAGTAAGAATGCCATTGCTTATCACTTCTCCATTTATGTTCTATATTCTGGATTCTTGTGATTTCAATTTTCAGCTTTGCCATAATTTTTAGCTGGGTTTCTGCAGATGCATAATGACATATCTTATACTTGTATCCTAGGCGTCATAAATTGGAAGCTGCTCCTTTTTGCAAGTTGTTTTGCTTTGGTTGCTTTGGCTTGTGGATGAGTGCAGCTTGCATGGTGTTATTAGAACTTCATGTCTAAATGGTTTCATATCAGAGTACCTTTTCTGTGTTGTTCTTCTATTTTTCGTTTTTAGCTATCTTTATTTGTTGTTTTCTTGTCCAAGCTACAGCAAAGTATATATCACCAAACTCCTGGAATTATTGGGATGACATGCTACATTCGTGCTCATGCTTTTTATTTGGGGAGGTTCAATGTGTGAAACGGTTATGTTGAGATGCGGCCCTAAAGCTTGCTGCATTACTGTGTTGAGCAAAAATGTGCTCCTCGAATCGGAAATTTGGTTGGCAAAAGCCTGAATACCAAAAGTTGTAAGTGACTGTTTGCTGGATTTTTTATATGGTGTTTGGTGGTTTGTTATATCCTGTCCAATTGTTGGGGCTGCTGCACTACAATATTGTTTACTAATATATTATTGAATTTTATTCTTTAAAAAAGATTCCACTTTGTTGAAACAAGTTATGGTTCCAACTTAAATTACAAGGGAGCTTTGTCATAGAGTGGACAGCCTATTTTTATGTAAAGTCAGCTACTGGTTTCTTTAGGGACATTATAATTCATTCTTTACTTGTTTTATGCATCTCAATGTCAAGTTAGTTCAGATTTGTTGTATCAAGGTTTTTTGGTCTTCAACTTGCCAGTGAAAACTTTACAATATTTTCTGATTTCCATGTTTTGTCAAGTTTCCTGCACACTGGATATTCTGGTTTCTCTGACATCTTTGAGTGTTGATTTCCCTTATAAGTGGATTTGCCTCAGTGTATTTACCTTCATTGTCAGATGTGTTGTCCTTTTGGAAATATGGTCAGGACTATTAATGAGAGAACTATATGTTGAATCAACAAGAACCATAATACAGCTTTCTTGATTTATAGGGGTGCATTGGCATCAAACTTTTCTGATCTCAGTGTAAATGAGATAGTAGCTTTTGTAATTGATGCAACTAATATCAGCTGAATGTGCATAGCTTTTTCCTATACATTAATCATTTGCATCTTCCATTTCAAGTTATTTCATTTGCATGTCTACTTAATTTAAATGTACTCTTGTTTTAACATACTGCTGCTATATGGTTCTAAGCTATGGCCTTTGTCTTCTTCCTCGGTGTCCTTCCCTATCTGTTATTGCTGCCGCACTTTGGATGGATGTCCTTGGAAGCCTAATCCATGTTCTACTTCTACCAGCCCCATCTATATTAGATCAGCCCTCACCACAGAAAGAAAGCCCGACTCTTATGGATTAGTTTGGTTGGCTACAGCTTTGGTTCATCTTGGCCAACTCGAGCATCATTATTGAACCGAGGCTCAGATATTGAACGACCAAATTGCTCATTATTCTCAAACTAGTGAGAAGAATCCTATGCACCAAAAGGGGATACTGAATATAACAGTAGATTTATTGAATGTATTGTGTGAGGAAATTAGCAGAAAAGACATTTTTTTTGGCTTCAAGCTCCAGCAACAGACCATTTCATGGTGAACAAATGCATTAAGCATAATCACTTCACTCACAACCCAATTTAACAGTATATGGTATCTGTAATGGATCCAGCAAAATATAATAATTTCTGAACCAATTTTATTTCATTGAAAAGATGCTTTGGGGATCTTAGAGAGTTACTGCTCTTCAGCTGGATCTCTGTTCTTCAGGTATCTGGCACAAAAAAACAAAAAAAAAAGAACAATATGATTAGTTTTGTCTCAATGGTGCATAATATGCCCTGATGGAATTTAGGTGTTCAGTAAAATGTAACAAATGCAATGAGCTGGTTCTTATGTCCAGTCAGTAGGCGAGCTGAAGAATAAACACAATGCAGGTTGTTTTGCATGTTAGAACTAGCTCATCTCTCCTCCAGTATGGAATGCAATGCAGGAGTACATTGCAAATCTTTTGGTGTAGATTTAAGAGAGAGATGATCCCATGCAGGAAGAGAGACTAAGACAGGACAGAGTAGATTGTAGGTCAAGAAATGCATCAGAACAAAAAAAAAATAGAAATGGAGGATTTAGGAATCAGCATGTTTTGAGATGTATGATTCCTGAGAGCTTACCCTTGAGCATTTACCCAGCGGGATAGCTGGTAAAGCTGAACCACTTCATTGGAAGCATGGCATGCAAGCAGCAGATAGTTGCGTGGCTGCACCATCCATGCAAACCTCATGAGAGCTCCCGAGTACAGACACATGGCTGCACATCCAAATCATCTGTCAGCTTCATCTGAGATATGTGACAGTAGTAGCATCACTAGGATGATACTAACATATTCACACTAACCTGTGGTCATGTTCCCAGAAATGGTTTCAGCAGGTTTTTTCATGTCAGCCATTGCCTGAAGAGCAGCAGCAGCAGTTGTCAAACAGATCAACAGTGGAGGAGAATCATATCCAGTATGTTGGAATTATCACTCATTAGAATTAATTCATCAGGCTAATAATGTCTGCATAATTTAAGCAATCTATTATTTTACAGCAGAATCTTGATTATTGATTGACTTGCCAATTTCTTGAGAGATTACCATGTGTTTGTTGTCATCTGGAAAACTTTAGGACAACAACAGTCAGAACTGTTCCTTTCTCTTTGAGCAAATTGCAGTTTCCCATCTGATCTCTTGGAAGATGAGAACAAGAAAGAAATAGCTTAAGGTTGGTGATGATGTATCAAGTTCTCTCTTTTTCTTCTTCTTTCGGCTTATCCAATCTCTCAATAACATAAGAGACTGACGAGAGCAGGAAGAAAGCATATCGGTACTAAGAACAAATTGGAAGAGTGCAGGTGATGGGAGTATACTTACAGCAACGACAAAACCCCCATTGGCGACTGGCCCCCAGAAATGAGTTGTTTTGGGGCCAACAGGGCCGTTCCAGAAAGCTCGTAAGACCGCCATTGCCATGGCCCGGAGCAAGATCACTCCTTTCCACCTGATTTCGATTCACATGAGATGAAAGATGGATCATCAGCAAGGCTTCATTCAAAACCTTCGAACAGGTTGAGAGGACAGCGAGGCTCATACCTCACGGGAGAGAGATCTGTACAAGGGACTCGGTTGCAGCTCCGAGAGTCGAACCCAATTAATTGCTTGCCCCCGCAAGCAAGAAATGCTGCAAGCTAAGCTGACCGAGTAAGTACTATAAGGAGATCATCCATCCATCTTTGCTTCTTTGTTTATTATTGCAGGGAAGGAGCATGTGGGAGTGCCTGCAACTGGGGGACTCTGCTCCTGTTAAATCTAAAAGAAGACTTTCGGTTGGTCTTGCTGGGTGTTGAGAATATTTCAATTGAGTGTTGTTGATCTTAACATGTTGTTATGAGTGGATTGGAGATTGCATTTGTCTTGTTATACATCGATTCTACTCGACACACCGCCAGATGATGGGATGGATTCCTGGAGATTAAATTGTACTAGTATGCAGTGTGCAATCGCGTCATGCATGACATACATTTATATCTAAAGAATTCATCTTCGAGAATTCTTGAGTTTGACGATTACTACTGGTAATTTGGCTACAGTATTGAATGATTAGTCCTAAATCATAATGCTGTTTTGTGTTTTATGGAAATATTACCGGTGTTTCCAATCTTCGAGACTTTTTGTTTTACGAAACAGAAAAGAAAAGAAACTGAAAATGTTTTGATTATTTTGCGTGTGACGAATGAAAACGCAAGATTTGACCGATTTCAAATGTAGTTGTTATGCATGTCCTTTGAGGGAGACGGAGACGGGATACTCTTTCTTGCGGGTCGACGCCTTCTCCGGCTGCGGGGATGGCTGGATCAACGAGAATGGGGCTTGACCTTCGTCTTACCTCGTGAAAGCGGCGGTTGCCGACGATGACATGTTTTGATACACAACAAAATGATGATGACTCTCAGTTTTTCTCTGGTGGAGATAATACAAACTTAGGCCGGCTTCCTTCTTCCCACTAGCATGCGTGAGTTTTTTTTTCTTCACCAAATATAGGATATTTTAATGCTTCATTTTTATTTGAGAATAACACCAAAAATAGGATATTTTAACATCGTCAATATCAGTCTCAAGTTTGGATGAAAAAGATAAGGATTACGTTAGGTCATTGACAATCAGCATAAAACTATGTTAGATCTCACTAACATAGATCTTAATCGATTTTAGTATAAAGTCATCATCCAAAAGTGACGCGAGACACTAGTACCTAGAAAGTTGCCCGGAAGTAGCCCATCACATAGCTGCCTAGATGTGATGCTAAGTAGACAAGAGTTCTTTCATTAGTTTGGATCAATGAGAGTAAAAAAATTTGACCGAATAGCTAAGCTAACAACTTGGAATATATGAACACTTTTAGGGAAGATATTATTATGGGTAGACACTATGATTAAAAGAAAATAAATATTATTTACTTATAAGAGACTAAGTAAGCAAGGAAAAAATCTAGAGAGATATAGTACTGGATTTAAAATTTGATTTACTAGAAAAGATAAACACAAAAATTATGTAGGAATTGTTATTGATAAGGATGTTAAGAATAATATTGTAGATGTAAAAATATTTAAAGATAGAATTTTTGCTTTAAAATTTATGAAAGGTTAAGATGCTTTGAATGTTATTAGTACTTATACCTCTTAAGTCGGATTGGATGATCAAACCAAAAGAGAATTTTGGAAAAGCTCTGGTGATATCATTAAAGGAATAATTATAAGCGAGAAATTTATAATTGGAGAAGATTTAAATAGTCATGTAGGGGAAACATATTATAAATATAAAGGGGTGCATGGGGACTTTGGTTATGATGAGAGAAATGAAGATGATTGTATGATTTTAAATTTTATGATTTTGTATGATTTTATAATTATAAATATTCACTTTAAAAAAAGAGATGAACATATAATTATAAAAGTGGTCATAACTATAGTCAAATAGACTTTTTTTTTACTAAAAGATAGATAGAGTTATTTGTAATAATTATAAAGTTATAACTGATGAAAGCTTGATGAATCAACATAGGTTGATGGTATTAGATATTTACTATAAAAAATGAAAGAAGAAAAAGATAGTAAAAATAATAATAATACTAGATAATGAAATTTTAAAGATGATAATTTGTAAATATTTTTAAAAACAAGATGAAAAGTGAGGTAAGTTGGAACTTAGACGAGGATAATATTAATATTATTTGGATTATGATGACTAATAAGATTAGGAACTTAATAAAGGAGATTCTTGATGAACTAAAGATAGAGGTGTAACCTTAAGAGAGAGTTGGTGGTGATATAAGGAAATTCAAAAAATAATTTTTACTAGAAGATCATTGTTTAAAGATTGATAAAATTATTAAAAAAATAAAATTTAAAAGATATAAAGAATCTAAAAAAGAGATTAAAAAAGATTAGTATGGTAATTTATAAAGTTCATTATAATTTTATAATAAATTAGGTATTAATGATTAAAAAAGATATATATTGAATTGTTAAAACTAGGGAAAGAAAGTGTAAGGATTTAGGTAAAATACTTGTTAATGATAATGAGATTAAGAAAAGATAAAAAAATTATTTTTATAAATTATTTAATGAATATTCTATATAGGACTTAAATTTAACGATAAATAATAGTGATAAATTTAATAATCATATATTTATTCATAAAATTAGAGCTAGTAAATAAAAAATTTATTAAAGATGATAAAAATAGCTAAAAGTGTTGGGCTTGATGATATCTCCGTCGGGGTCTGAAAAAGTTTATGAAACAAGGGAGTAGCTTAGTTAACTCGCTTATTTAACAAAATTATGAGATTTAAAATAATACATGATGAATGTAGAAAAAAAAATTTTAGTGCTAATTTACAAAAATAAAGGTGACATATAAAATTATTCAAATTATAAAGAAATTAAAATTATGAGACATACTGTGAAACTTTGTGAAAGAGTTATGGAAAGTAAAATAAGACTTGAAACAAATATTTTTGAAAATCACTTTGATTTTATGTTTGAAAGATCAAAAGTTATTTTTTTATTAAGACAATTAAGAAATAGGTATAGGGAGAAAAAGAAAGATTTACATATGATCTTTATTGATTTAGAAAAAGCCAATAATAGGGATTTTAGATATTTATTATAGAAAAGAAAGGTGTATCCATTAATTATATTCATATTATTAAGGATATATGATAACGTAGTTACTAGTGTTAGAACCATAGAGAGTACGTCTAATGAGTTTCCGATTAGCATAGGATTATATTAAGGATATATACTAAGTTCCTACTTTTCACATTGATAATGGATAAACTTATTAGTCACTTACATGATAAACCTACTTGGTGTATGTTATTTGTTGATAATATTATCTTCGTTGATGAGAACCTAAGTAAAATTAATTATAAATTTGAGCTATGGAGGCATGTCATAGAAACTAAAGGTTTTCGATTAAATAAAACTATAATTGAATATATAAAATATAATCTTAGTGATTCTAAAAATAGACAAGATAATATAGTTAAATTGGATAGAAAAGAAATCCCTCTAAGTAAAAGCTTTAGGTATATTATATTAATTATTTAACAAGATGAAGAGATCGATAAAGATATTATTTATAAAGTAAAAACAAGATGATTAAAATGACAAAGGGCATCAAGAGTCTTGTGTGATCATCAATATCTTTGAGATTAAAGGATAAATTTATAACATAATTGTAAGACCAATAATATTTTATGGATCTGAGTGTTGGACAGTTAAGAAAAAATATATACAAAAAGTCTGTGTTGCTAAGATAAGAATATTGAGATGGATGTATGGAGTTACTATGAAAGATAAGAAAAAAAAATACTTTTATTTATGAACAACTAGGTATCGCTTCGACAGATGAGAAGACGAGAGAAACTCGTTTAAAATAGTATGGGCATGTGCCGAGGAGGACTCCGGGTGTAATAGTTAGAAAAGATAAGATGAAATAATTAATGTTAGTGGTACAAGAAAAGGTGAAGAAAGATGTAAGAAGATCTTAATAGAAATTATATATAAAAATTTAAGAATAATTGAGTGACTAATTATTCTTAAATTTTTATATATATGATCTTTTATATATCTTAATGACGGTAAAAATTCATGTAACTAACTCCTTGGGACTTATACTTTTATTATTATTGTTATATTTTCATTTGAGAATAACACCAATATTAACACGAAAGATGGTTTAAACTTGATTACATTCAAAATGAAGGGGGTGAATGATGATTGTGTGCTAACCGGATGTAGGTTTCCTCAAATGACTAATTTACTTGGTGAAGGTACTACACGTTGAGACAAGGTTGGAGATGAGCCTTAAAGTATGGTGTACAATATTATATAGGATATGTATATATTGTTATTTAGCATGTCTGATAGGCTCCAAAGGTTTCTCATATATACAGAGAAGAAAATAGGGCTGGGAATTGTTTACAAAGTCTGCTAGAATTTGCAAATCTGATTGTGTATATAAAAAAAAATAAAGATTGACCTACTGAATTGTATAACTTTTTTTGTGCTCTGCTGCCAGGAAATGCTCTGCAATTTTTGGAGGACAAGTTTGCATCTCTTGGAAAAGAAAAAGACAGATCACACTGCAATTACAAATCATACGAGGTTCCTTAATTCTCAAAGAGGTAAAATCTAATCATTTGTACTCACTCATGCTGTCTGTCTTCATGATCAACTATAAGGATAAGCCCAACTTTTCAGCAGAAGCTACTTGTTGTAGGATCTGGATCTGTTTTGTTACAAATCAGTTCAAATATTGCTGTTTTGTTCTCATTCACCAAATAGATGTTGGAAAAATCAACTCATTGTCAGATCATCCGAGATGTTTAAGTTAATAATAATAATATACTTGTCTACTCCCTGTATATCATTTTCCACTTATTGTATGATATTATTTGGGGAGTCATTTTCAGTATTATTAGCTAATTTTAAGAGGACTTTAAATGGAAAACTTTCTTATTTATTTGACAATATTTGCACCATATAATTAGTTATCTTCCATTGTTTCCCCTATCTATTTCTCAGGTAAAAAGAAAGTACAGGGAAAACGATAACAAAGATTTCAATCGATGATCTCGCCAATTATTATTATTTTTCTCTATTTATATTCTAATCTCATATCAGAATTTGAAGAAATCACATCGAAAGTTCTTTCGACATCGATATTCATATCGAGAAAGAAAAAAAAAAGAAAAATCTCGAGATTAATTTGAAGAAATCACATCGAAAGTTCTTTCGACATCGATATTCATATCGAGAAAGAAAAAAAAAGAAAAAAGAAAAATCTCGACTGAAATTTGCCACAGGGATCGGATTGGAACCATCGACGTCGGAGTCTATCACTCGCTCTCCTGCGTGTTTGGTGGACGGACTTGAGCTCTGATCTTCGACAAGCCGTCATGGCAAGCACTGCTTGTGTGTTGTCGTAATGGGTTGTCCGAGGTGACGGGTCGTGGGCGTCACCGATGTGGTCGGTTCCACTTTGTCGTCGCAGCAATAGGAATAGCCCGTGGCCTGTCCCCGGTGGGCGACGCAACCTCGCCAACCTTTATCCACCTCTTTGTTCGAGTTCGCATGGCTGCTTCCCGTAACGGGAGGCACCCCGGCCAGCCTCTGCCTGCGCATCCACATCCACTCATCAGTGGGGAGCAGAATCATCATCGCTTCCATTTCATCCTCTCGGTAACTTCGCCAGGAATTCTGCCGACTCCTGTACTGATGATCTCCGCTGGTGTTCATCCATTTCAATGCAAGTTCGGAGACGAGGAAGGCATGGTTCGAAGAGTGGCTTTGCAGGAAGAGGAAAGTGATTCCGTGGGAAGAAGAGGCCAAATCGAGCTGGTGGCACCATGATCCATCTTGTCACACCACATGCCACCAATCCAAATGCTGTACTCTCACAACACGACGTGGCTGAGACGAAGAACGACAAGATTCCATGGGGAACTACCGCATATCTATGCCACAAGTTTCCGTATGGTCTCGACAAAGAAATCCTCCATCTCGAATTCTTGATTCGTGGAGGGAAAGGTTGGGTTGATGCTTCTTGGGTAAAGCTTTAAAGGGGCACTATAAGCCACGATTACTGTCTCTCGCACGCGCGCGCGCTCACGCACACGCACGCAAACAAAAAAGAAGAACATGATAAGGTTGTGTGCTAATCCATAGTTCATTCATTATTTGGAGGAGGCATGATGTATGCTGTCACCACTAGCAAACAAAAGCCAGTTCGGATAAAGCCCGAGTTAATCCTCATCTCTCTACGTTATCCTGCGACCGTGGCTTGCTTCTCTCATATAATTAAGCGAGACGGACAAGGGAAAGAGATGACGCTCCCATCTACTCATACCTAATCAATGAGTTAACTCATGACATGCACCGAGCATTGGGTGTCCCTCCTCATAAACACCAGCACGCAATCATCAATGCAGAGAGAGAGAGAGAGAGAGAGAGAGAGAGAGAGAGAGAGAGAGTCGAAGGAAGGAAGCTGGTGGTATTGAATGAGTTAGGCTTCCACGGTTTTGAGCATTCACCCGCTTGGGTTCTGCGGTGGTGTGTTGACAGTTGATTCGTCACTTTGCGAAGCTGTCAATTTTTTTTACCGATGGAACTGTCAGACTGATTCAAAGATGCGTTCAGTTTTTCAGGTGGCGGGTGTTATTTCTCCCATTAAATGAAGCTGGCTTTGAATGGGTTTCAAATCTTACGGTCTTCTTCTGTCGGGACTCGGAAGGGAAGGATTTAGTTTCATCAGGAAGTGAGAGACTCGAGTGTTATCAGACTTGCTTTTTCGCTGCCTATATAAGAAGCTGCTGAAGTATTTAAGCATGTCTACCATTGCTGTGGACTTCCCTGTGGTGAGTTCTTCTCTCTTCTCCTTCCTTCTCCACAGTTATGAACGCTTCCCAACTCCCTGGGGATGTAGAAGAATGTAGCAGCTGCGAGTCTGGATGGACCAAGTATCTTTCTTCCCCTGCGCATGATGATGACGGAAGTGAGGTGGAATCTGTTGTCGGGGATGCTGGTGAAGACACAGGTCACGAGAGCAAGGAGAGTGATGATGACTCCATGGCTTCTGATGCTTCCACTGGTTTGATACAGAGCAAGGATTCAGACGGCATGGTTCACTCCAAGTGTAATGATGATGATGATGATGATGATGATGATGATGATGGATTCAGGAACAAGAAGCAGACTCAGTGTTCTTCCCACTCCAACAAGCAATTCTGTAAGGTGGAGGAAGCCAGAAGTGAAAGAGAAGATTTTGCTGCTCTACATAGCAACTCCAAAGCAAGAAAGAAAAAGTTGAAGTAATTGGTTTGCAGGCAGGTGAGAGGACTGGTGTTTGATAGTCCATGATGAACAGTTTACCTTGCTGTAGGAATAATTTGATGGAAATGGAGGCCGGAATCTGAAACCCATGTGTTGTTTGTTGAACAGTGTTGGTATCAGCATCAACATGTCTGCATGGCATTTGAACTTGCAATGCTGGTCTATATGTTTAGGCTTCTTCTTCTTCTTTTTCTTGAAGGGAATTTATGCTCATCTTCTTCTCCAAGTAGAGTTGAGAGGCTATCATCATGCAGTTGCTGGTAACCCCCCCTTTTCTTTTTCTTCAGTAAAATGAAAATTCACTTAAATTTTCTTTTTTTTCCTTATCATGATTTCTTCCAAGGCAGAAACAAAGCAATTAGCTGGGAAGTAGCATTTAGATGTAACAAACATATAAATTGCACATGGAGTAGTAGCAGGAAGATTAAAAGGGAAAGAAGATCATGAACAAAGTATTAAACAGTTAAATTCCAGTGTTATGAGACCAACAGATGTCCGGTGGTTCACCAAGAAAGGGGGGAACACACAGAGAAGTGGAAATGATATGGGGACACGGAATCATGGCTCCGAGTCTTGGGTGTAGATATAATCCGTGTGATCTTCCATCCCTCGCCCGGCAGTGCATCTCTCCGTGTCCACGCCTTTGCATTCTTCCTTCTCCATGCCTTCTCCCTGGGCAGCCAAGCGGTGGAAGATTAAGAGAGAGAAGAATAAACTTGTACTTGTGCAACACATCCTACACTGTGATGTCAACAACATCATGCAGAGTAGCTCCACTCGAATGTGATTCTAGGTCTGAATTTGATCTTTTTGTATAAGAAAATTCCTAAAAAGAAGAGAGAGCCAATCTCTAAAATAGCTGCTGAGGGAAGCAACTTACATGAGTGGCAGTGGCAGAAGCGTTTCCTGGCATGTCAGGCACCCACGATAGCTTCCTTGAATCACTCTCAAACAGCAGCGGAAGAAGTAAACAGATTAGGATCACCATTCTTGCCATCGCTCTCTTCTTTCTCCTTCATAAGATGCGACACCAACCTGAATCAAATAGCAGGATTTGGGAACCCCAGTCCCTGGCAAGCAAGAATATGATAATAAAAAGGGTGAGAGAGTTTTGGATAGAAGAGGAGAAGAGTCTTGAGTGAGTGAGAGAAGTAAATGGCATTGAAGAGAAGCATGCCTTGGGCTGCATAATATCTGTGCAAGGTCGTCAAACAAGGCACAAGCCTCCCTCCCTGCCTTGGGAAATGGCACACAGTAGAGTCCTCCATGATAGGCCAAGTACCGAATCCTGGAGCGGTGTCGTTGCGAGCCCCTTCACAGTGGGAATTAATTGCAATCTACCATGGCGGTGGTGAGGTGACATGAACCGAGATGTGTGACCGTCTTCATTTATTCCTGCAGTCTTATCTCTCTCAGCTCCCCCATCTTACCGATGCTTATAAATTGGTGTCATGTGGCTTGATTGCCTTGCTTATGACATTAACAATGGGAAAACTTAGATGTTAGGGCTACAATGTCGTTGGACTTCACGACTTTGAACACCCTTATACATGCAAGTAGGTTTGACTTGCCAGCCTCTCGTTTTTGTTTTATTGCGATGTTGGCGACCGTGGAAGCAAGGGAGCATCTCCACGAGACAACGTATGCCACGTGGAATTCCATTTGTCACGGTGCAGGGAACATACGCTGTCTCAGACTTGAAACTCTTCACTTCATTAGGAAGGCCTTTGAATCTGATATATCCTGTGTGGAATATGGACACGAGGGTCAATGAAGAACTACGCTTCATGTGTTTGCTAGAAATTGAAATCATGGAGCACACCTTCGTAAGAATCTGCTGCTAAAGTAGGAGAGGAGTTGCATTATGCTGAATGATCCGTGAAGCAGCAGCAGCAGTAGCCCAGCTTGGAGTCAGTTTGGAGATCTCATGGCTATGGATGCCAAGCACAGAATTGGTGTAGCACATTATGCAACATATAGCTAATTATTGCCATAAAAGGATTGTCATTTTCTTTGATTGATCCAAGTAAACTGTAAGAAAATATGAACAATTATGCAGTGATTATATAAAATTATTCCACACCATCCTTACTTTTTGCTTCTTCGTTTCGGACTTCATTGATATATAAAAAAAAACACCTTGGAAATATCATGTTCTATATTTTTACTTCGTATAAAACTATCAAAATGTCAATGAACAAAGTATACTTAACACCTCGATTGATCACACAATAAAAATAGGATATGATGGATATATTCTTATCGACTTTAGTTTAAGTATTTTAGCTTATGGTTTGGATTCAACGAAATTGAGAGACTAATTAATCCATCGTGATCCAGTCATGTGCAAGTTTATGATGACCTATAACTTTCAGTTTCCTCTTCGTTTCTTTCTACGCATGGATTTCTTTTCAATACAAAGGTGATGTGAAAAAATCTTTTCCTATGAACGTTCAGGGAATCCTCCTCCACAACTCTATTCCAATACTACCACTAACCCTTGGCAACTGTCACTATCTCAAAGAGGCATGTCTCTTCTTTTCTTTTCCATATTCTCCTCTACTTGTCCTAAAACAGTCCTCTCTCTTCTTCCCTTTTGCTTTCTTTTTTTCTGCCTTCTATCAATTCTTTCAGTTACACATTATATTTATCTATGTTTTTTACCCCTACTTTTTGTTTGCCAGTGATCATGTGACAATCTTTGCTGGTTGTGTGAAATGTTTGATGACTTTCGCTTAACATGTTGCCAATGTCAAGTTACTACTTCCAATTTAGGGGTTTTTCCATAACCTATTGGCGACTCGTGTGTAGCTAAGAAAATGTTCATAAGTTGTCGATGATTGAGCATCGATCAGACAATTGCAAAACTAAGTAGAAGTCAAGACAAGCAGCTCTCAAAGATTGCATTTTGAAAGTACAGAATGTTGGCAAAAAGGAGATCCAAGAAAGATTACATGTTTTGTCAAATTTGGGTCAAGTGGAAAGCTTATTTGAATGACTTAGACAAAGCAAATGAAGCTAGAAACTTAGAAAGCATGTAGCTACTGCTATTAGTGATTTGCATTCAAGTATCTAAATGAGGATGCTCACATTGTTTTTCGTGGATTAATGATCAATCTAGTTCCTCTTTCGTTATGTTTCCCACTGTTTTATCGTGCGACTAGAAAGAAAATAGTAACTTATTTTATCACAATTCAGGGATTTATTTCTAGATGGGACAGACGAAGATCACAAATTAACCAGCCCTTGTGTTCATGTGCAAAATAGAGCTTCATAACCTTGACAACAATGATAATGTTGAGCATAATAACTTTCTTTCTTTTAAATAAATCAGAGAGACATGGTATCCTACATTTTAAGAGATCAGATCAGAGTGATATATCTCCCACAATTTCTACTGACTCGTTTACTCCAAACCAGGATCGACCCAGTAAAAAAGGCCACACAGTCTATTACATCCTATTTCAGCTAATGCATTCTAAAAAATCATACTACAGATCCCCAAAAGTTAAAAGTCTCATTCTGTAATAGATGGCTGATATGCTGATGAATTTAGAAGACAAGTGATCTGATTCATTTTCAACTAACAATCTTCTTTTGACGAAAATAGTATTTTCAGTTCTGTTTCTGACTATATCTTTTGCAAAATGCAGTCATACAAATTCTTTTGCTCAGAATCATTTCTAGAGATTAGGCGAATCAAAACAAACTAAATAATAATCGGAACCCTAAACATCAAATTGACAAAGAACGAATAGCTACGATTAATCATGACATAGTTATTGAAAAAGGAGGTGTCAAAATAAGTTACCTCTCGGTCAGATTGGAGTCTTCAAATGGATTCGAATCATTCGAATAACCAGAGACTGCATTTGCTTTGAGCTTCTTTGCGACCTTCACAGCCTAAAACAAAGAGTCCTTTACAGAATTGAGAAACCTCTGAAACCCTTAACGCGTCCCAGAAAAACAATTAAGATAGGAGAGAGAAAGACGACCTTCTTTTGGGCTTTCTTGGCCATGTACTCGAAGATCTCCTCCTCCGTTCTTTCGCCTACGCCGGTTCTCCGATCCAGAATCCGAATAATCACTGCTATCATCGTGGGAACTCCGGCGGCCACTGCTCCGGCGTGGGCTCAGCCGTCTGGAAGAGCTTCGCCGCCTCCTTCGATAGGAACCCGATGCCGTTTCCGATCAGTCGTCGTCGTCCGATGAGGGCGATCCCCTTCGCCGACTCTCACGCTTCCCCTTCATGTGGAAAATACCTACTTAATATATATAACAGGCCGAATCCGGATCGCGCAATGGTTTCACTTTGAGATCTGTGTATTCACTTGATTGATGTCTTTGAGATCACATCGGGACACAGGGACCGTCTGATTTTTTTCCTTTTGTCCTGTAATGGAGCAACGTGACCGAAAGGTTTTGGCGCCATAAATGGGCGGTCAAGATTCGTTAACTTAGATGAATGGACGGTGATTAATATGTTGCACATAATTATTATGCGAACAACAAAATAGAACCGCCATCGCCTATAAAAGCCCTCGATTTGAAGTCCCCCATTAGAGAACAACCTTCTCCCTTTCCTCGTCTGTCTCGGACCTTCGTGCTCCCGACGAGCGATCCTTGTCGTCGCTGAAGGAGCGGCGTTCGGAGGGGACTAGGATTCCGGTCGTCAAGTCTTAGCTCAAGATCTCGCGATCGGAGTTCATTTCCTTCCGCTTAGGCCCCCATCTACTCTGTCGTACGCATGTTCTTGAGAAGCGAAAGCGTCTTGATTTAGTTCTCTTTGCATTGTTCTTGAGAAAGTTTTGCTTTGATTTGATGGGTTTGTGGAATGTTGTCTTCTCGGATGTTAGATTAAGGTTTTTCTTTATAGTCGATTATTCAAACTTTTTGTCTTTCTGTTGTTGCTAAGATTCATCAAGTCTTTTCTTTGTCTTGATAATAACAACAGCTGCTGGAGGGGGGATTATTTGATGAGGAGCAGTTTCTTGGTGGGCAATGGGAAATTAATCCAAGAAACAGAATCGGTTTTGCTGATTCGTATTTATGGTTTACCGAGCAGAAGAGCTGCAGAGGGTGTCTAATGGTACCTTAGTCTTTCTATTTGTTTTAGTTGATAGATCGTGGCACTTGATGAACTTTCAAAGAAGAGGTATACCTTTGTATCGGAAAAGGAGTCTTATTTTTGTCTTTTTGTTTTTTACCAAAGTGTTCTTTTTAGTTACAAAAGGGAGAGGAAAAGGTTTTTATTCGGATTCAGGGCAAATATCAAAGATCGCTCAAAAAGGGGCAGTTTTGATAGTTCTTGAAAACTGGGGTTCTTCTTGGTCCTTTCCAAGAACCAGGACTTTTGTTGGAAAATCGTGCTCTAGAAATGGTCACATATGCACAAGTTATTGAGGTACCACATACTAAGTTTGTTGATACATTAGGCAACAAATATCAATAGTATTTATAAATGAAATTATTTAATTGCAATCAATGTATTTATTATAACGCCACATTCTTTTCTATGATGAACTTGGAGTTTTGCTATCAGAATATGCCATAGCTGGATTAAGGATCTACATAAGAATATTGTTTGGTAATTGGGATGCTTGTGTTTCATGTTTCTTTGGTTATGCTTATGCTTGTCTTACGCCATGGGAAAGTGGAACACACAGTTCCCTTTCTTACTACACATTGATCACTTTTCCTTTTTTGATCTGGTAGTAAACCACCCACTTATGTTAAAAACATTCCTTTTGGCATGGAGGTTCTATGGTTCTTAATATGATAAGTTAACTTGATAATATGCTGGTAGAAGCCGATTTCCTAATATATTAAAAGATTTGTTTACTATTTTTACATTTATAAGGTATACAAAACAAAACAACCTTTTCTTCCTTTCTTGTGTCTATTTTTGTTTTTTGATTTTTTTTTTTTTTTGCAGCCTGAGCTTTGGTTTGCAGGTAATCTATGATCGTTGGCATGCTATAGTAGGCCATGGCCACATTCGAGATATATCGAAAGTCTTCCATTGGCGCGTGCTTGATAGATGCCTTAGATGAGATGGTTCTTAGTGGAACTTTGAGCCCAGAGGTAGCTTATAAAGTACTAGTGCAATTTGACAAGGTAATTTGATTGTTAGTTATGTACAAAGTTCTTTTGGAAAATTCTCCTGTCATATTTATAGGTGCTCTTCTCATTGATGCTATCTCCTTCCAGTCTATGAAAGATGCCTTGGAGACCCGAGTGAAGAGAATGGTTTCTATGAAGGTAAACATTTGCTGTTTGGCTTGTCCTTTATCATGTGCATCCACTTCATACAGATTCTGTGTCTTATGACACTTGTGAATTTAACCTTTCAATTTAGTAAAAGTAATAATTATGCTTATTAAGATACTTTGTGTGCTTTGACCTCTTAATATCATCTAATCATTCACCAAGGTTCTTTATAATATTGTATCATTTTTTTAATAACCTTTTTTTCACCCTCATGGAGGGTGTTTACATAAAGTTTTTGCTCAGTAATGGCTTCAATAATCAAATAGGAAATTCCCACTTACTCTTGCTTATTTTTAAGTCTACCGGACGGGAGTCTTTTAACAGTTTATTTACCTTCTTGAATCATGAGTGTCATCTATGTTCATTATGTCCATGTATTATCCTATGGCGCCCTCTGCACCTGCAGTTATGCAACATAAAATACTTGTATGCTCGACTAAATTATGCTGGATGAGTTGTAGAAGGATTATGTGCCTCCTTTCATGTCTTGCCCTCCTTGCCTTACCAGTACTTCTTGATTGCGTGGTATCATTTTAAATATTTTCTTGTAGTAACAAATTTTAGTTTTAGTCATCTCTGTATGGTTAATGATGACTGATTTGGGAAATATCATTTGAATGTAGAACTGCCTACCCCTTGGAATGTAGCTCTAGTACCAGTTTTTGGTTTCTTAGAATGTAGAATTGCTTACCTCTCAAACCTGAACCTTTGCTCTTCTCTCGTCTATCATTTATCTTTTTGGGTCCATTATTTTCCTTTTTACTGTTGGATCTAACCTAAGGGAATTATGCAACCTATTATTTAAAACCATTATCATGCCTTCATTCCTCGTCTGGTCTTTCAGCTGATTAAAGCTAGTGAAATTAAAAACCTGATCTCTTTTCTTGGATAATACTCTTTGCACAGGGTCATCTGCATACCTACAGGTTTTGTGACCATGTCTGGACGTTCAACTTGCAAGATGCAGTTTTCAAAATTGGCAAAACCGAGGAACAGATCGGAAGGGTGAAGATTGTAGCTTGTGACTCCAAATTGCTACCATAGTGAGAGTTCATCTCCTTCTTTCTCCTGGGCACCATGAATATGGATGTAAAGTTTTCTTGTTTTCGGCCACTCTCCCAAGCTCATTCTCTCTGGTACACAGACCCCTATCAGTTGAATTCGGCTCGAATTATTAGTCACCTTCCGTTTGTAGATGATATTCTTTTAATCTTGAAAAAGCTAAAACCTAGACATGTAAAATTCTTGGGTCATGAATTTTGAAGTTCTTTTATGTTGAGTGATCAGAGACTTGGTTCTTTTTTGGAAGCACATACCTTCTTCCTCTAAGCAGGATCCTCCTGACTTTACCAAAGCTAAGAGCATGACTGTGCCTGGGACTTGAGCACAATGGCCTGCCTCCGTCGGCCAAGCACACCGACGGGCCCATTGATGGGCCAGCCAATACAGGTTAGTTGATAAGAAATACCTAAGCTCAAGTTAACAGTAGATATAGATAGACTCATTTGCTTTTAAATGATTCAATTCTTCTTATCCCATATCCTCTGTTTTTCATTTCTTTTCTTATGCAAAGATAAATAGTGAGAGAAGAATTCTTATTTATTGTTAATAATTAAGATATTTATCAACTAAGCTATTGATATTTGCAAAATTTTGTCCTCCACAGAGGCCATCATCTTCTCCGGTCTGAGAATTAAGTCTGAAGCAAGTAAGCCATCTACTACTTTAAAGGACTTGCAGATGGCACATGTCCAGTGTCTGCATACTGCTTGTAGCTGAAAGGCATCCTGAGATCAAAGTGGAACCACATGTATGCTCTCACGAAAAATGACTTTGAATCCATATCCAATATGTCAATTTCATGCAGTCCAATCTCCGCCAACTCACCAAGTATGGTGGTGGATTGATATGAGTCTGGCATCAAGTGACTAAATACTATGTGTACTCTCAAGAACAACTAAAGCGACCTATCAATCCTTTTTATTTCCTTGCACTGCATACGTAACCTTTTCCTAACCATGAGTTATAAGCATCAGACTCTGACAGCACCTGCATTGGGGCAATCAATTTGGTTGTTCCTTTTGCCTTGTTTGCCATCTGAACTGAAGCTCTTCAACCAAAGCAACAAATGCTACATGCTTGCAGCAGTCCTTGATGATCACTGTAGTCAATTGAAAGTGCCATTTACCTGCAACAACTTATTTGGTTCTGCTTCTGACTCGAAGAGATGGAACTCCGCGGTATGAATCATAAAGTTGGCATCCAGCTTTCTTGCTTTTTTCTCCACACAGAAATCATTTGTTCCCGGGAGGTACGTGGAGAATCCATGGATGTCCCTGTCACTACCCCTACTGTGTACCGTGGTTGGTCTTTCACGGCATCCAAGCAGCCAAAGGAGCTTTCAAGCTTCATCCGGTGAAGTAATGGATTTGGACACTGGTGGATGATGGTGTGCTTGATTGATGGGCTCAGTTAACTCCCGTGATAGAGAGGTAAGAAGGTGTGCAAAATGTGCACAAAATCTGAGTGGGGTATTCAGTCAAGTGACAGGTTCCATCTTTGCGAGAGAAAGCTTGATGAGGCTTTCCTTAAGATGGATCTACATGCTTTTCTGCCGTGAAGTCGATGAGGATGCTTTTCTTATCCGCTGAGAACACTCGATGTCCGATCTTCTTCTGTTCCCCACCTTAAGAATCTGAGGAAGTCTTCCTTCTTAAATGGCCCTCATGAAGCTTCAATTTTGAGCCATAGCAAGGTAGGGTGGTGTGGTAGGTTTGCAGCTAACCATCCCAATCATCGTGATGTTTGGAAGCTGCAACTCTTACTACACTTTTAACTATGAAATCAATACCTTTAACTATAATTCATTAGATCTATATTA